TAAGTGCCACCAGGCTGTTTTCCTGGATTTGTTCAGAGAGAAGTTTCTCTTGTGCAAGTCACAGCACACACACAGCACAGCAAAAACGCAGGCATGGCCTGGGAGGTGAACAGGGCAGGTATGAACCTTGCTAAAGGGTAACTTCACAGTGGTATCAAATTCCTGTTGCTCTCCAGGCAGGAACCTGAGTCCTCATCTCACCTGAGACTCAGCCATTAAACACACTCAACACAGCACATGAAGTGAAGCCCTGGGGAAGCTTTACCTTTGTCACAGGCAGAACCTGTGCAGAACATCAAGGCAGGGCAGCAGGGAGCCTCAGAGGGCTGAGGAGTGAGAGAAGATGGAGAACCTGGTGTCTGCAGGGCACAGATAGATCCTGGTGTTGCAGGGGCTTTCTGGAGGCTCAGGGGCTGTGCAGGGTTTGTGCTGCACCCATCCCTGGAGGGGCTGTGTGCTTAATTCTGCTGCCAGGATGCTCTGCTGGACCCCAGGAGCTCAGCACAGTACGGGTGTGATAAACACCCAATTTCCTTGGGTGGCATCATCCCCCACCTTCCACACCCACACCAGGGCCAGGCAAGCTCAAACTCCAAATGATTAAACAAACACCTCACTTAAAATATAAAACATTTTCAAGATGGAGACTAACATTTTAGCTGAATTTATAAAGATCAAGAAAGGAAACAATTTAGCCTTTGAAGCTGACACAACAGCATGGTCTGTTTCACCTTGCTGGTATCTCAGGTCATTTTAATCCTCAACAACAAAAATAACACTTCTATGTGGTTTACATGAATCTATTTTCTATCTATCTATTTCTAATGGCTTAGCTACAAGAAGCCTTGTGACAATTTTCAAACCTTGTGACAATTTTCAAACCTTTTACTTTCTCCTGTCTTGCTCTTATCAATCATATCTCACCTCTCTGAGAGCTCTCTTCTTGAAAGCTCATCCTATTTTTAAAGAGAACTTTCTTATAACTTTCTCTGCAAAACAAAACCAAAATAAATGAGGCAACATGAATCCAGAAATTAAGAATAAAGCTCCAAACTTTATTCATTGACTTGAATACAACAGTGATGCAGATTACAGTGGCACAGGAGTGCAATATGTGCTGTTTGCAGTATGACAGTGGAAACACTAATTGTACAGAACAGCAACCCAGCTCAACTTCTCATTATGCATACAAGCAGACTTACTGTACAGACAAGACATTGATTCACTTTTACAGAGACTCAGAAAAAGAGACAGATGAATGGAAAACACAGGGACACCTCCCCAAAACGCTGGTTTGGAACATGTGGAGGGAGGAGAAAAGAAAAATAAAATAATAAAAAATCCTATTGCCAAAATCTACCAATTTAAAGGCAAGTATACCTTTAAAAAATTAGTTTTAGTTTCCAAAGCTTAAAAAAAGTCCCCAGCTGTAAGGCCCCCTTGCAGGAAGAGTTGTCCACAATGGCCAAGGCTCAGTGCTTGGCCAGGGCTGCTCTGGGAGTGACACTGAGCTCCTGGCTGGGCACAGAGGCTGCCCTGGCCCCAGGGGTGCAGTGCAGGGAGAGGCCCCACTGCTGCCATGGGTTTGCATCTGGGGGAAGTGCATTCTGCAGGTGTTCAGTGACAACAGCCCAGGCAAGCGTCCAGTGGGAGCTGGCAAAGCTTCCTAGGGGAGCCAGAGACTCAGCCTGGTAAGGCACCACTGGGATTCCCAGAGCTGCATTTCCATGCCCAGGGGCTGGGTCCTGGGAGCAACACCTGTGCTGACTGTGGTGATCCTGACACAACAGGTCTGCCTTCAGTCATCTCTCTTTTACCTCAAAAGAAGGGCCACAGTGCACATGGAAGGAGTTCCTCTTCACAAAGGCGAGCATTTCTGAGCAACTCATTAGCAGAAATCTATTTCCCTGTTAGAAGCCCTTTGGGCACCAAATAATTTATTTTGCATACAGGCAAACAACATTAATGGCCAATTACATTCCCACTTCCTGCACTGATGCTTACATTAAAATTAATAACACTTCTGCCAAATGTGGGCATCACACAGCTCCTTCCAGCAGAGTTGTCTGACTGAAAACTCAGCATCTTTGCATTGTGATGGATTTTTTGTTGTTGCTGTTTCTTATCTTATTAAACACAAAAAAGGTGTGTGGGAGAAATCACAAGGCAAAACTCACCAGCCAGAGCAATGCTGCAGCCCACAGTGATAGGAGTGTTCTACACTAAGGGAAAAAGGTGCATTGTGCTACTGTCACAGTGCTCAGGAGCTCTCTCCAGCTCTTCATTTTGCAGCAATGGGGTAAAAATGTACCACATATTGTCAAGACCAGCCCTTGCTAAGCATCTACCCTGAAGTCTACCCAGTGGGTGTGTTGACAGGGCCACGAAGTTTGACAGGGCACAAAGCAGACTGTGACCTGGGGAGAACTGAATGGGAAGGGGGCAGTGGGGACAAGCCCTAAGCATCCCTCTGGCATGGGAAGATGAGTGGCATTTTGGACAGAATAGTTGAATTCTTGTTTTCTGCAAGTGTTTTATTGCATTGTCATTACCACTGACTGGTGTTCCTCACTGCTGTAGGTAACACTGAGGATGTGGACATCCTCCTTCACAAACACATTCCAGAGGAAAGCAATGAATCATGGAGTGAGAGAAAGGGTGGTTTTCTTTTGTCTGCCCTACAAGCCAAGTATGCCAACATCTCCTCCTAAGTCAGGAGGAGCCAAGATAAATCATTCCCTGAAGAGTTTAGGGGATGTTCCTATTTTTGCCATTTGAGACCTAATGTTCTTGTTGTTTGTTCTAACAGCTTCATACCATTAATTTCAGTGTGGGTGCTCACACGCTATGAACTCCAAACTTGACTTCCCCACAGTGTGGAACAGGTACTACAGGTAGCACTGAACAGGCTCATGCCAGTGTTCTCCTCTAATCCTGCCAAGCATCACCCTGGCAAGCCCTGCAGAAATCAAGATTATACCAACCCTCCTCCTTCCCAGACCTTAACCCTTCTCTGCCCATTGACATCACCCTGCCAGGAGACACAGGGATTGTGGAAAGGGATTCACTTCCAAAGGTGTCTAACTTCAGTGTAGCTCACTTTGACAGAAGAGGCTGCTGCTGAGCTCTGTTGAACAGCAGGACATCTGAACTACAGGGCTGAGAAAGGATTTCCCAAGTGCAACAGGAAAAGGGCAGCAAGCATTCAGTGCCTGGCCCACAGATCTAGGACTGCAGGACTTTGTGAGGAGAGGTGACACCGGTCTGGACAGAAGTAAAAGCACCACTGGAGCCACAGAGATGTCTTATCCCACAGAAAGCTCCTGAATCCTCTCAGCCTGACCTTCCACAGCCCACTGCAGTGCATCCCCAGCACACCACAACCCACATTTAATGAGCTCCAAATGAGGAGGGTGTGTGCCACCAGTGCACCTGTGCTCGAGGATCTGCATCTGTACATAATCCCATGTGGACTTAACCCCAGGTGTACACGTGGGGTTATTCTGCAATGTTTGACTGGGCCTTGCTCTTACATCACTCTTAAAGCAGAAAAGGAGAAAAAATAGGACAAAAGCAATCAGTTTTTAGTCCTCTTGGTAATGACATTGTGTTGACAGCATTGATGACATGGGACTTTATCAGAAGCTCAAATGCTTTGCAGGAGATAGAAGAACACAAGCATGTACTTAAGGCATATTCATGGAATCACAGAATGATTTGGGTTGGAAGGGACCTTTAAAAATCATCCAGTCCAACTCTTGACATGTCCCAGGGGAATATCAAAGAGGGGAATTACTAAGAACTGCTACTCAATGGATACCAGGAGAATGATTAATTGCTTACAAAGAAAATTCTCCCTGGGGCTACATTTTGTTTTCATTAGGTGGGAAGACCAGATGAAAGAACAGAAAATATTGCAGTGACAATCACAAAGAGCCCACTGCAGAAATCCTCCCTCCCCCACGGGTGGCTGCAGCATGGGTTTTGTGGACAGATGATCTCGTGGGCGTGTCTGCATGTAGGTGGTTGAGAATTAACTGCAGGCATGAAAGTGAAGCTCAGAAAACCCTTCATGTTCTCAGTCAGGAGTAAAGCAGTAGTAAGTCTAGTGCAGAGGGCTGTAAATTGACTGACTGCTCCACACCAGTGAGATGGGAGCCAGCAGTGCCCCAAAAATCCAGTCAGAGATGAGTTGTGTCTGCAACATCTACACTGGCTTCTCTTCATTCCTTCCCAAGCTTAAGCTGCAGTTTTAAATTCTCAGTTGATGAGGCAGATTCAAATTACCATGCCATTCTTTACAGGCTAAGAGGCTGAGTTCTTTTTTTTTTTTCCTTTTTTTTTTTTTTTTTTTTGCATAGGAGGGAGAGGTAAGAAAACAACCTGGCTTAGTCATTTCTGAAATGACTGGGTAGTGTGTTCTTATGTGCTGTGAGAAGTCCAGTAGTAACCTAGAGATGGAGACAGAAAAATGCAGACTGGCAGCTCACATCCTTGAGAGAACAACTCCTCAGGTCTAAAAGGGGTATGGTCAGGGTGACTTGAACTAAAAGACTTGTAATGCCTAATAGTTTGAAGGATGTGGGATGACAAAATGTGGAGAATTTTAATAATTTAAATGCACTAAAACTCAAATGTTTGTCTCAAAGTTAAACCACACCTTGCAGGTGACCAAACACTGAATTTCTGAGACCCCAGCATTCACAAAGTCTGTGAGTGCAAAACACTGCTGTCCTTTCACTGTATGGATTTGCTTTCAGCAGTCACTCAAAGATGCATTTTGAGCCCCTGACACTCCCATTTACTTCTCAGAGCTCCTCTAAAACCTTTCAGATCTGTGTTCTGAAAAATGAGGTGAAATATGTTACCCTGATCCCTGGTGCAAGCTCAGTGCCACCCAGAGAGCTCAGTCACCAGTGTGTGTCACAGTGTCCCCAGGGAATTCTGCTCCCTGGGGATGGTGCCAGACCCTTGGTGGCACTGTCCCACAGCCCCACATTCCCTCAGGGACATGGAGCAGGTGCTGAGCCCTGGTCTCTGTCTCTCCCCTACTGTACCTTCATCTCAGATTTTATCAAAGGAACCACAGTGATCTGTCACAACAGGACTTGCTAACCAGCAAAGAAGGGGCAGGGTTTGGGCTGTCCTGCACAGCTCATGGTGAAATGCCATTTGGTGATACAGAGAACTCAACACAGTGATACTGAACCTCAGAACTACATGGGACTGTTTCCTCTTCCTGACTTCCAGATTTTAACACCAATGTCTCACAGAAAAGAAAATACAAAGGTTCTGATGTCTCCAGTGCCTCCTGAAGTTTCTGCATTAAAAAGGAAACCTTGATATTCTTTGACAGACAGAACCTAAATGACCCTCTCCTATCAGGAGATGAGCTCATTAGTGCAGTTATGCATTGGCAGTAAAGCACCAAGGAAGAGAAAAAGCAGCCACACTGCATCCATTCAATTACTTTGGTGCTCGTGTCCTCCTCTGCATAGGACTTGCCCAGAAGCAGTTAAGGTATATACAGGCAGTTTTTCAAGCTGCAGCATATTGGAAGAAGACTGAAAGCAATGAGTTCAATGCAGCTCAGAAACTGTCTTGCATGATTACTCTGTCTTCAAAAACCAAGTCAGGCACAAAGGGAAATAAAAATAACCAAGGCTGGAGCTTTGATGCTTCAAGACAGAAAAAAAGAAGAAGTCTGTGCCCTCTTTTCCAAGCACAAGTGAAAACCTACATTAACTAAAATGAGTGCTTGGCCCCATGCACTGTGCCATACTGACAACAGCTACTACAGTTTAATCAAAAAGCCTCTATTGGCAGAGCTTGGCACCTCGATGGTACCTTTCAATTCATAAACATTTCCTCCCTAAGAGGGATGAATTTGCATGTTAGCTTGCAGAGAACCATTCTCCCTGCCATTGTAAAATCCTACAACTCCACTGCAGCCTGATGAGCTGTACTAGTAATTACTAGCAATTACTAGCAGGGAGTTTCTCCTGAAATCTCTGGATGCAAACCAGGGCACACTTAAAATAGCATTTTCTCACTCTGCCACTCCCACCCCCATGCACCCACCTCCTGGAGTAAATTACAAGAAAACTGACTCTTCTCCATCATTCCCATTACTGAAGTGATCTTAAATTATTCAAAGGACTGGTTAAGCTCCAGCCTTATTAATTCAAGCAGAAAGTGTGGAAGAGGGAAGACTGACAACACACACACAGCAATTCACTTCTTATAGCCTAGCAAATATTTACAAGGAGTCCATTTCCAGAAATCCAGGTGGTGTGTCCTGCAGGTGAGCAGAGTGCCCACCACCACAGGCTGTGTTACACGAAGACACTGTGTCAAAAGAGTGCCAAGTAAGAAACTGTTGGGTGAAAGACTTGATGTGACCATGTGGGATAAGTTACAAGGGGGCTTCTCTTTCACTACAGACCTACCTATGTCCCTCTCCATATATACACACATATATACACACTTACACACACACAGAGATAGATGGAGAGATATAAATACATGTGTGCACACAGGCAAACACGCATACATATATATATATATATTTATATATGTATATATTCTCTTCCAGTTCTTGGAGTGGTTACAACTACTTTAGTCTACAAGGCATTCTAAGGGCACTTCCTGGCTCTAGCAATAAAGTCCATCATATTGTGGAGAGAAGTAAAGGGAATATCATTGAGGGAGAAGAACAGAACAGTTTTCTAGCTTGCACAATATCAGGTAATAGGTTGACACCTCTGAAAACTATCATTGCTGTTTCTGAGCCCAGATATTTTCTCCCTGAATTCCAGGAGGGCAATTGTTGATCTTGTTCAACTGCAGAGGTGCCACTATGTTGATTTTCCCTTTTTGGTGGATAAGTAGTTGCTTCCAAACAGTTTGGACTGTGTGATACAATATTCTATGCATCATTTGTGGTGGGTTTGTTTAAAGGGAGATTAAAAGAGTTTTGCTTTTTTCTTCATGTCGTTGCGTCTCCAGAGAGGTAACTTGTCAAACTCCTGTATCGTCATGCCAAATATTTCTTGAAAAACTTCAGGTGCTAAGTGACGCTTCAAACAATAAAAAAAAGGAGGGAATAAAAAAAAGGAGAAAAGGCAATGGTCAGTCAAAGCCAAAGAGACACAACAGGAGGTTGGAGCACCTTAGGGATTTTATGTCGCTGTGTAAGAGCCACTGCTGGAAAAAATAATGCTTTGGCCATACACATATTCAAGTCCTCATGGACTTGTGTGCTCAAGGAACAAATCAGGGAACATTTCATTTTCTGGTAAAGCAAGAGACAGAGAAATGATTGGTCTGAAGCCATCCAACAAGCAGTGACAGACCAGAGAACAGGACCAGCTCCTGCACACCCCTGTCCCAGGCTTTAGCAAGTCACCTCTGCCTACGGAAATCCCAAGAGACATTGAGTTTTTAGGAGTGCTCTGCAGAGGGGCTTGACGTGCTCCAAGTTCTGAGAAAGAAGATGTCTGGCCAGGCTAACTGTTCAGCACATTTCTCTACTGCTAATAAAACACTTTTTGGTGCTGTCCTGTGCACAGGTTACTTCTTGTTCAGCCACTTTACAGTGCACTGGATGGGGAAAGTGTCTCCCTGTGGCACTGATCTAACACAGCACTGAATTCTGATTAGTGGCCACATATCTAATAATAAAAATTGGAATAAACCCCCCAATTGTTACCCAAATTACCCACATCTTTGTGGCTCCTTCCTTTCATCTCCACAGAAGATTAAGGACTTAAACATCCCCAGCATTCCACTGGGCTGCTTAAGTCTTCCTAAGCCACAAAGCTGTAAACTATATTTGTTTGTTGGCAGAGATTTAGATCCTTGCATTTTTGGATATCAGCCAGTCTTCTAACTAAGTCACAGGACTCATGATGAGTTGAAGGAACTTGGACTTTTGGTCCTCAAGGATGGCTGACACTGACTCTTAGCAAAGAGATGGTCCAAGAACAGAGTATTGCTCCATTAGTCTGGATCTTATGAAACTTGTGCAATTTTGGGCTTTTAGCAAATCCACAAGTATATAAAGAAAGGCCTGAAAACAGAAGGGGACTGTGAGAAGCTCAGTCTATGAGCAGGGAGACAGAGATGTGGGAGATTGTTTGAGGAGAGGCAGCTGCTTCCTCCCAATGTCTGATCCCTCTTTCCCTGATTAGTGCTGAGAAATCTTCCCACATTTCTCAGGACCCACATTTCAGTGCTTCAGCTTTCACAAACAACGAACAACTTTAGCAGGAAAGAGCATTTAGGAACTTGCTTCTCTTACCTCCAGCCTGGTTCTGTCTACATCTTTTAGTATTTTATTTCGCCCTCTGTTGGTCACCATGAGTATTTCATATGGAAAAATCTGTTAACAACGCATAAAAAGGGGGAAAAAGAGATATTTATACTTATAGTCTAAAGCAGACAGAACAAAACGTGTGTCATTTCCATAAACACACAAATACTTGTTTTCTTTTGCAAAGCAAATATCAGTTTGGTAGTTTTTTTGGGGTTTTTTTTCTTATCCTTTTTTTTCCTAAAGTTGTATGGAAAACAAGCTGATCTGAACAGACCTAGAACTTGTTTAGCACTGAACTACCTCATGTTGTAAAGCAAAAATTTTCATGCTGTATATAATACATCAGCTGGCTTTGGTCAGGCAGAGTCCTTTCTAGACAATGTATTTCCTCATCTATCAATGTATAAATTTATTAAAATAATTGCATTTGTCACTCATTGGTCTAAATAATGGTTGCCAGAGTGTGGACAGCCCCAGGGACTGACAGTGAGCGGGCTTTAAAAACATGGAAGTGCATAAAAACAGCAGCATCTCTGAATAAGCAAAATATTCATTAGTGGGGGCCATTGCATTCAGTAGAATTTATTACATGATTTTCTTCACCTTTTTTGATAGTTAAAGAATTCAAACAACTAATAGAAACAGTGCTGCTTGGAAAGGATTTCAGAAAATATTAAAATCAGTTTCTGGAATCATCCCTGGCAAATAAAACTCTGTTCTAATTTTTTTTTTTCCCTTGGATAGACACTTCCATGCCTGGAATGACTTGGGAGAGCTCATGCTCTGTCCAGAGCATCTCTAGAGCCCTTCCCACTGCATGTCTCTGTAACAAAGCAGCATTCCCAGACCCCTCATCCAACCCCTACTCAAGTCAATGAAGTTTTTTCTGGAAACTTCAATGGCAACTGGCTTAGCCTTTACTGTCATTTATGGGTCTTAGTTGCCCATTGGGAATATGAGTGAGACGACCAACAATCTCCTGGAGAGAGCTGAGCTATTATTAAATGCTATTAATTACATTATTTCAACATCTGAAGAAGTTTGACTTAATAGACTTTTGTGAAGTTCTCAGCAATTAAGTTCATTCTATTGTTAACAATTATCCCAATGAACTTTTCAAAAACATAATAAATAACATTCAGGCATCAATGAACACACCACTGATTTTATTGTAAGTAATAATAATTTAAATAACGTGTGCTTACATACCAATTGTGAGATATGATTCTTATGAGAGTCTGACATTGTCACAATTGTACAATTAGGTCTATACTTGGAGTTACATTTTTTATGTTTGGTACTGGAAATGGCTACTATAAACAGCATTATAGGAAACTAAAATGTAACTTTTCATATTTAAACAGGCAGAGTTTAAGTCAAGATCTATGGTCATAAGTACATTTTATGTTTAAATATTCACAACAAGGCATGTCTCAGTTCTGGGCTGGCAAGATGCACAAATTCTGTCCTTTCTGGAGAACCATTTGGTAATATCTAGTCATTCTTAGGATTATTAATCTTTACTTTTCATATGTTTCATGCTGACTCTGAATTGGGTTATTTTATTTTAGCAGGTGTGAGTTAGTGTTGGACAATTGGCACAAATAAAAACAGTGCCAATTCATACATCCTGAGTATTTGGCATCACCTTTATAAATAGCAACAGAAAGTGATCTATTATCTCAGGAAATTTCCCATGATTTTTAAAATTAAAATAACCATTAATAAATAATCATTAAATTTTGTCATTAATAATACTGACAGAATTTGTCACCCAAAATAGCTTCCCAAATCACTGGGTACATCAACAGCAGTGGTGACTGTAAGAATTTCTATTGCACTGAAAAAGAAATTATTTGGAATAAAAAGCAGTATCTTAGGAGTCCCCACAGTCTTATTTATATAATATATAAAACCACTTGTAACTGCACAGTGCACTGGGGTCTCAGCTTATACAGCCAGGGTTATTGCCTTGTACAGTTGGCCTGGAGGTGACTCGGAAGCACAAGAAGTAATCTGGTTTGCAAAGTGAGCTCCTCACTTAACTGCAGAAATTCTGATCCTTGTAACTTTGGCAAAATCATGATTTCATGGAAGGTTCACTAGCAATAAAGTTGTAACATTTAGCACAGCCCTGGTTGAATTCCCTTGATATATTATATTCATTTTTAACTCAGGCATCTCTAGACATAGCTGTAAAAGCATTTTAATTTGTGTCTTCAATTGTAATTAGCAGACATTGTCTCTTTTTTCCAATAAATCTCCTGAAGAGTTTCTCATATAGGGAATTCAACACTATGGACAGGTCTCAGGTTAGCAGTGCTGGGAGCTGAGGAACAGATCCAGACAGACATGTAGGTATCTTACTTCCAGTCAAAGATTTCCCATAATCTTTGGAATTGAGACAGCCTCAACAATGTGTTGTGAGCCACAATATTCTGCAGCACTTGTCGAAATGGACAGATCTGAGTTTGGCCTGGTGCTTTGGCTGGTGAAAGCCTGGCAGAGAACCAGCTGTGGAGCACCTTCCACATCTGTCACTGTGTCCCTAGAAAAGCTTCCTTACCCCAGGGATCACACAGGGCTGCCCTCAGCCTGCCTGAGCACTAACTCTGCAGAACACAGTCCAGAACAAAGGGAGAGGTTTGGCACATAAGGAGCAGGGACTGAGGTCAGGTAAAAGAAAACAAGGGAACTAAGACATTTCCCATATTTTATCTGCATTTCACAGTAAAACCTTCAAAGTCTTGAAGGAAAGTGAGTAACATCTGCACTTGCCTTTGGCTCCAACATGTTAGGCATAGATACTCCTCTGTCCATTCTCATTCCAGGGACATGACCATCCGGGAGGGACTGCATCGGATACAGGCACACAGCAGACACAGAGGTTACACACACAGAGGGTAAAGGCACTCAAGTTGTGGTGAAGACAAAGGTGAATTTGCCCTGAGACATCCCTCAAGTCTTAATTCTTGATCTTATTATTTCAATCATTGCCATGGCTGCTGTTCACTACTCCTGTGAGGTGGGCAGAGGGATCCTTCAGTCCCCTCAGCCACCACAGCTCCTGTCCCTGCTCAGGCTGGTGACAATCCCCTCCTGAGCTGACCTGCACCACTTTCCAGGGACCTGGGCACCCCAAGAGAGTGGTGGTCCCTCTCCCATCCCAGTGACTAGTGAAATTCTTCTCTAGTTCTTGCCTAGCATTAATTCAGATCCCACCCAACTGCACAGAAAGCACTCTTACACCTCTGGGCTTTCCTACTTGTAATTTACTCTATCAGCTGAGGGATTTCCTTCCTTTTTTTTTGTCTCTACAATGGGTAATTTTTACTATGAACACAAACAGGGATGGGGTAAAAAGGTGCTGTTTTGACACAGGTACTAAATCTACGGAAATAACATTTGGAGCACAATACATGGACAGCTCTGCTCCCCTCCCATAATCTTATTCTCTTTCCAATCATCATGATTTTGATATGCCATTACCAAAATTATCCAGGTAATTAAACAATTTCTTAAATCGCCATTTCATATTGTGATTGTGCTGAGGAGCCAGGCAGACTCAAACCATTCTGAAAAAAAACCTTGCAGGCAGTAATTGAAGTAAAAAGGTTTCTATTTGCAGGCACACTTCTTTCTGGCTCATCTGGGATGGCAGCACTGTAGAAAACTACTGATCAGCCATCTTGTGTGGAGAGCAAATCCCAGGGTAAAAATGAGGAGTTCAAAGCTCCTGGTATGAGAGAAAATTCCCTCTGGAAGAGACTTTCTATGTGTCTCTGGGGTCAGTACTAGAGAGGCTGGAAATAAATCCACCCTCATGTGTCCAGAGAAGGCTATTACAGATAACTCATACAGGAACAGAGTGGATTTCACAGAGCAAGTCACAGAACAGGTGTGAGTTGTCTCAGCTCAGCTCTGGGGAGATGACAAGGAGGAATCCGAGGCTGTGCCTGTTTTTTGTTGATAAGGATCTACATTGGTGATTATGCTTAAACATGCAGGAAAATCAAAGCTATTGTCTTAAGAAACCCTTCCCTGTAGCAGAAATTCAGAGTTGAACAAGGAGCTGCTTTAGGTTCTGCTGTCAGTTGATTGATGAAAACCCGTACTCTACCTGGAAATCTGAAAAGCAAAAGAGAAATCTCATCAGCTTTAGAGTGTGGAAGGACAGGAATCAGTCACAATCTACCAGAATCCTTCTCTGTTTTCTGTTATATCTGATTTTTCCAAAATCCCATCTGATTCTCTAAAGCCAGCAACATTTCTAATTTTGGACTTTGTTTGTGGAGTCGAACACTCCAAGTATTGCAGCTCTTTTCATTAACTCTCCAAGTTTTGTAACTTTCACAAATAATATTAGCAATTTTTATTTGGCACTGACTGGTACCACATCCTGCTCAAAGTCATAGTGAAGATCATGAGCAGCAAGGGGGATTAGAGGCCATTATCTCCCTTTCTACACTGGGGCACATTGTTCCAGACTGCACAGTTGATGGTAATTTTCACAGAAAAAAACCACAAAACTCACAGAACTCAGTTCATATTCCTGATAATGCACACCTGATTTGCCTTCCATTTGATCCAATGCTAAAGTATGAACAAGGATAAGCTCCACATAACAGATTTAGCAAAATAAACCCAACATTTTTAAACACGTATTTGAAGTGCTTTGAGCTAATTGAGTTTGCCAGAGAAAATTAAAATGTACTGAGCAAATACAAAGTAATCACATCCCCAGCCTTAATATAAAACAGCAGAAATGATCAAACATAATCACATTTTTACATTTATTACTAATAGACTGCAAAAGGCTCTTCATCCTTACCTCTAACAGCACCACTCACATCCCCATAACTGTTGTACTGACCAAAGTCCGTAGAGACCGGCTGTAACAGGAAAAGAGGGACAGAACATAAATTCACAATTCAAGACTTTACAAGAAGGTTGGTACATGGGGACAAATAAATTGCTTTAATTTTTTTACTTCCCCCACAATTTCACAACATTTCCTCCTTTGCTTTTTTGCCTTTTTAACAAAGTAGTTTGTGGGAGGGGAAAATAGGTTTGTTGTGACTTCAGGTGGTTTTATAAGAAACATTTATCAAACTGAAAATCCAATACAATTGATATGGAAATTAATACCATGGATAATTAAAGCCACCTTTTACGTCTCAAAATCACCATCTTCTTACCCTGTGAAGTCCATTTTTTCCATACCCAGGGAGAGAAGAGGTTTTGGAGGCTGAAGCATGTGCTGTTGAATGAGGAAGGGAAAATATTTTACTGGAAAAATCCCATGGAAACTAAAAACTAGAGCACTTGAGGAATCACTAAAAAACTAGAGCACTTGAAGAATCACCTAGTACAAAAGACACAGTTAAAAGAGCCAAGCAAACACACAACTGAGACACACTGACTTTAAGAAACTCAGTCCCAAACTCAGCACAAACTTCCACACATTCTGTAAGTTACAAACAGCTTTATCATGCCATGGTGGCAGGCCATTAACAAGGGACACTGATTTTTCCAGGCTCAAAATCAAGGTGGTACCCCCTGGATTGAAAATAACGCTCATGGATCACCCATGGGATCTGCTTTGGCATCACCCCTGATTCCAAAAGGGAACTGATGATGGCACTGATTATGCCTGCAAAGAGGGATGGACACATCTCAAACAAAGGAGTTCTCCAACCTGTGCTAAGATTAATTAAAAAATCATAAGCTTTGAGTTGAGCAGGTAGACTCTGGCCCCATAAAAATTAAAGACAGTGAGTGAGAGCCACAGGAATCCTCTCCAAGCCCATCAAGGCAACACACTGATAAAACAGGGAACCTAAGGAAATCTTAGCTTGCTTGGCAACTGTTCCAGTGGATGACTCCATAGAGACTCATCTTGTCTCTTCTTGGCTCAAAGTTCAGCTTTCATGTTACAATGGCTGGTGAATGAAGACAGTAAAATAAAACCCCCAAACCCTTCTCTGGAGATGTGAGAAGGCCACAGCCATACATCAAAATGTGCAAGGCAAAGAATCTAAGTCACTAATCTAAGTTAGCTTTTGTGCTTTTGCTTTGAAACAAAATACACCCAATTAAACTGTCAGCCCAGGTCAAAACACTGGCTGTGTTTGGAATATGCAGCCCCACTGGTCAATAATGCTGAATATCTTTTCCTGGGAGAAGAGACTAAGCAGGGACAGGAACCACCAGTGTAAGCAAAATGTGTTGCTGTAATTTAATAACCCAGCCTATTAGTGTGTGTGATGCCAGAGTGACTGAACACTTCATCCCACTTTATATCTATATTAAAGCAGCTCTCTCCTCAAAATTGCCTGAAAATCCTCAGCCTCATATTTCTTTTAATTAAAAAAACAACCACAACAGTCCTCCCCTCACAAAACCAGGTGATGAATCAGGCCACTCTTTCAGGGCAGATCACCACATAAACACGTATCAAGCAGCTTTCCCAGCTGTCTCTCTTCTGGGACACTACTTGCTATCTATTTGGTGTGTGCATTCTGTGGTGTTTATACCCGTTATTCACGATTATTGCCTCCATGAATTACCTGGAGAATCGTAACGACTGGCAGAAAGGGCTGACCTACCGCGACTCTCCTTTTCCATCTCTTCCTTCAATATTAACTGCCCCAGACCAGAGTTGAGCTACAAATGGCAATTAAAAAAAAAAATCAATAAAATAAAGCTGAGCAAGACAGTGGTAGGATTTGCTTACGGAAAGGAAAGGGGCACTTTTTGGATGGAGCTCAGAAACAGCATGAGGACAAGCTTATAACCACCTTCATGAGCTGCTCCTCCTGCAGCTGCCGGCGTCTCTGCAGCTCCTCATCATCTTCCTCCCTTCCACTTGATCTGCGTCTCATGTCAGCTCCTGCTTCCACAAAACCACAGCACAGAGAGAGCTTTGTGCATCAGTTCAACTGCAGCTCCAAGATTTCAATGCTAGTTCACAGAACTGGTCAGTTTGATTTGCTGAATAAACAAAGCAGTATTTCCTTGCAAAGTCAAAAGACTTTTTCAAAATTCTGTCTCAATAAAACTCATTTGGGTAGCCTGCCCTGTGGTTATCAGGCTTGTTATAAACTAAACAAGAACTTAAACTACACACAAGTTCCAAACCAAGCAATAGTCCTCAATACAAAAGTCATGATTGACCCTAATAGAGGAAGGAGTACTGGAAACATGGGTTTAATAACAGCAGCAACTAGATCACAGCTGAAAACCCAAAGTCTGATTTATATTTACTCTTTTATCTAGACCCAGAGAAACATTAACAGAATCTGAATTAACATTTCAAATGGAAAATTAAACTACATTAGTCTCCTAAATAAACATTCATATTTGAAATAAACAAGGCATTGGTTTTAGTCTAAAATGAAGTAAATTAATTTGATCCATTGGATAGAGCTAAAATGAACTAAGGAATTAAAATGTAGACCACTTGTAGGCACAAGTGTTCTACATTTTAATTCCTTAGTTTTTATTGAATAATTTTTATTTTCTTGAATATTCTTAATAAATGATCCAGTCTGGATGCTAGGGCAATCCAATGAACAGACAGGATGTGCTATTGCTGCAAGCATTTAGACAGCAGTTCTATTTTTTTCTGCACAGGGCTTTATCTGATACAGTTATTTACCAACACTGTGCTAGACAAACTCAGTGTTTAAAGTATGTAAACATTTCAAGTATGTAGATGACAGAGCTTCAAGTATGTTGATGTTATTCCTGTGACTCAGGGACTTTACATGTTTTCAGGTTGCAATCCCAACTAAAGGACATTTTCAAAAAGCGGCTGCTGCATGTGCAGCCCCTTCAGTTGGTCTCTGAGCTCTCCCACCCTGTGTCTCCTCTCCCAAAACTCCTGTGAAGATCCCACTGTTAAGAAAGCCATACATTGCCTCACAGAGACCTGAATCAAGCAACACCTCAGTGCTTCAGACATAACTTCAGGAATGAACCTAGGCTAGATTGCTTATTTTATGCTACAGGGGTCAATAAAAACTCAACAGAGTGAAAAAATACAAAGAAAAAAATTTAAATTGATGATACATATGAATTAAAGAAAAGAAAATAAGGTATATGTAGTGCTACAACACAAAAGAAAAATACAAAGTCTGTAGAAACAGTAATTCTGAAAATCAGGAATTATTTAGTCTGTTAATTGTTCCAATTCAGTTGTTGTTTCTTGCCATGAAATTAGTCATGTGGTTGGAAACAATCATGTTTTTTGTGGAATTTTTGCTTAGGACTAAAAGATTAAATAGAATAGCTGAGAGAAGTTAGGATTGTGTGACACAGCACACTTTTTAAGCTACTGCACTAGAATTCAAAAATTTGCTTGTGGGTTAATATCAGTGTGATCAATCTCAAAGTCCTTTAGCAAAGCCTCTTCTACTCAGTGCAATCCAACAGTTTTAGACTCAGACACTCAGTGGTCTCACCAGGAGAGCTACACTTTGTGGTGAGCATCAGGTGGACACCACCTTTCCTCCACTTTTTTGCAGCTGCCCTGTCTGTGTGCCCCGGTCAGCAGTACCTTTGGAGCTGCAGAGATGAATGGTTTGTGTTTCCATACCTATGGCAGCCAGGGAGGGAGGGCCTGGCCAGTGGTCAGTCTCAATCTTTGGTATCTCGTTGGGTGCTGGTGCATGAGCTGCTGGGAACTTGGAGGACTTGATGATATCCTCGGAGGACTTGCTCTGTGCTGCCAAGGCAGCTGCATCTAGATGGCAATCAGGGAACTTAGCTATGTAATCATCTGGAGCAGCACAAAGTCAGCCTTATTTTGGCAAAATGTTATACTTTACAAGAAGTTAGTTTTCAAAAGCAAACATTTTCATGTTCTGCTTTTCCAATTGCAGATTGAAGCAAAGCAATGCTTTTTTTCTTGCCAACAGATTGGAATCAAACCTTCCTCTCCTCCCGCATCCCCACCCCAAAGATAACCCCAAATCAGCCTTGGATTCTACTAGGGTTTCACAGTGTAAGAATGATTTTGCAAGAGTGAGAAAATGCAGTCTAGCAGTATTTGCCAATATCTCCTGAGGACAGCTGATTATTTATGAAGATGAACTCAGATTTATGTACTAATAAGTTTTCCCTCTAAGGGAAGCAAACTAATAGATCAGAGTAACAGCACAAATCCTAACATTATTGGTGCTAATTATTTCATCTGTGAAAAGCTGCAAAACAAACAAGAAAAGAAACCTGAAACAAATATATTTAACTAGGGGATTTTTTTGTGCTGCATGCCCTTGCTTAGAGCATGCAGTAGTAGTAAAAGCAGTTAGGAACTTATTAATAAATACTCAACTCCATTAAGATCAACTTGGCAGGGCAAGGCACTTGCAAAGCAATGAACCTCACCGACAAAACAGCTTGGTAGTGGGGCTTCCACTTTAATTCCATTTTAAGCCAAAGCCTTGCAAAAGCATGTGAGGATATGCATTATGGTTTTCTCTTCTTGACAGTAAAAAATATTTTAAAAAATCATCTAATAGGATTCAGTGTCCATAAAACCCAACCTTAAGTAACTCTGAGCTGGAAAATGTGTTCGCTCAAATCACCTTTGCTTATATGAGGCTATTGTATCAGTAGTAACAGTTCCAGAATTTTCTTTCCTTTTTTTTTTTTAACAGAAAGCTATTTTTAAACAAAGTGATGCACTGTGTTGCTCCTCCAACACATTCCAGGTAGTTAAGCAACATCAGTGTTAGATATCACTGGGAATTCTGAGCAGCTGATGATTGGAAAACTCTTAAGCATAACTGCAGGTATGGAGGGAGCTGGTCAGAGTTTACAAAAGCATGACTTCAAACAGTACTTACGTATTAGAATTGGTGATGTCAGTGGTTAAACATTCACATGTTAATGGGAGGTGAGGAGATACATTAAAACCATAAAAATAAACAGAAACAATGTTAAGACTTTTTTTTCAAAATGAGCTTAAGGTTTGAAACTTAAAAAAGAAAGGGAGGAAGACCCTGATGTGATAGCAGAGCAGTGTAATCTGCAGTGCTCACTCCTGACTACAGAATGCACTTGTGGGCTTTCCTGCTCACCCCAGCTCACTGGCTCTCAGCCAGCTGTTCATCTAAGCCCTGCAGTGCTGCTGATTTGCTACTTAACCCTAAATACATTTCACTGGATAAAACATCTGCAAAGGGATGAAAATTCAGAGTCTACAAATAGGAGTAATCTGTCTTTCACTGAGGTAAATAAAAGCCATCTCCTACGCACAGCAGGAGGGAAGAGTAAACACACTCCTTCATGATGATTCCTTTATAATGTTCCTTATAACAGTAGAAACACTCTTTCGTGGTGATTCCTTTATAATGTTCCTTGTAAGAGTGAACACACTCCCTTAAAATGCAGCCTTCCCCTGTGGGACTAAAGACAGACAAGGCTGTGGGCTTCTGCCATCATTGTCATTTCAGACTTGCTATGACAACACCAACACCAGAAAGTTCAGAGCACTAACACTGCTGTCCAACTCAGAACCCAAACACCTGGAAAAACAAGTACAGCAAACTACCTCAGCTGCATCCCATGGCTGAGAGTCAAATTAGCCCTGTCACTGATAAGTCACCTATAATATCTTCACTAATTAAAGATTCTTATTTAAAACCACATTAAAGGTACATTTGGAATTCCAGTCTGATTATAACATCTCCATCTTTGCTGCAGAAAGAAATTATTGTACACAAAATGACTTCACAAAATCGGGATATTTTGTGAGGTCACTGTCAGAGATCTGTCTGCTGTTAATTCATTTTAACATGACCAGTACCAGTACTCTTAAAATAAAAGCTTAAAGAAGAGAAATGCTGGAAGGTATCATAATGCAAACAGCAAAATCTCAGCTAATAGCAATTTTGCCATTAATATCCACACGGTAACATTAACCATATAATCCAAATGAAACAACAGGCCTTAAAACAGAATCACTTTCCAGGACATGCAATTACAGCCATTTCAAGCTTGAACTACTAAATTTTTATGCTTGCAAAGCAAAAACTGAGTGCTTTTCACAAACTGCACATTTTTAAATTCAGTTGACACTCCAATTTTGAAATAAAAAGGGAAAGGTCATTTACCGTGTTGTTTGTAGATGGGCGGTTTCCTGTAAATGTTGACACCTTGATCTGTGACATTAGGAAACAGAGAAAAGGGAATGTGAAAACTACTTCAGTTGTACATAAAGATAACCACTAAAGCAATAGATAGACCAAATCAAGGATGTAGCACAAGAAAAAGCCAGAAAACTATTTCTAGTATTATACAAAACCAGATTATTTAAAGATAAGAAAACATAGGAACAAGTGAAAAGTCAAAGACATGTGGTATGAAGTCCTTTGGAGCTGATTCTGTAACATGTGGATGCATCAACTCATGAACCCTCAGTTTTAAAGTGGGATAAAAGAGAAGAAATGTAAGCAGGCAAGACATTTCAATGGTGAGGATACAAGCCATTTGGGGAAAACTACCCCAAATAACTTCTGTGGAAAATTGTGCTTCAGTCAGAACAGCTCAATTTCCTTTCCAACTGACTGGCTGGATTGAACAGAGGAGAATGCAGTGAGCCTACAATTCACTTCAAAACCCAGAGAACAAAATAGCCACCTAGGACACTGCTTTGAACAGGCAACAACAGCCACACTTCAGTGAGTGAAAGGAATTCTTTATGCAATGTTCACTGATATGCTACTAATTCTCAAGCCATAAGGACAGATTTTCTTTTTTCTGTAATTTTTTTATATGAGGCCTACCATATTGCATACTACCTATGTAAATCAGAATAAAAACACTTCCCAGAACTCCAAAGCAGTAAAATCTACAGCATGTCTAAATGATACCATATTTTTCCAAATAATAATCTAGGACAGGAACCATTTTGTTCTAAACTACCTTCCCACCCCAGCCAACATTTCATGTATTCAGCACAGCTACAAGTACAAAAGCTAATCCAAAATCAGCACTACAGTGCAAAAATGTGCCAAAATCTTATTAGAAGAGCAAATTGAACTACAGGGAGCTAGAAAATTAATATCAGAAACCCATTTTGCTACTTTATGCTGCCTGAAAAAAGTTTTCAGTTACATTAGAGTGAAAGATGAAAAGGAATTTCAGAAACACATGTGCTGTATCACAGATCCAATTAAAGTGTTACAGGAGACAACTTTGCCTTTGGTGTTAAGGAAAGTTAAACTTAAAAATCTATTGAAACAGAGGCAAATCTTACTCTGCAGAACCCTACATCCTTAAACAAACAGGCAAACTCACTGCACAGAAAGGCTGTGGTACTTCATTCCTGTGTGGGATCTGTTATGGTCACTTGAGGAGCAAACAGGTAGGAACATTTCAAGGGCAGTCATGCAGTCCTTCTGCACACACATGGACCCAGAGAGCTGCAGGGAGGATGGGAGCACAGCTCCTTCCCTGGCTGCACGGCCCCAGCTCGAGAAGAGCTCCCACACCATGCTCCAGGTCACTTCTCACAGCTATTCATGCAATTAGGCTTGAGTTTAGTGAGGCACCGAGAGCCAGGTGAGCTTAAGTGGTTAAAAGAGCCAACCTCAGCCAAGCCAGGTCACCCTTGCTGGAAGGGGGGTGCACAAACTGTTTATCTGCCAGATTTGAGGAGAGGAGGAAGGGCAGTAACCTCTGGCAGTAAGGAGGAACACCAGGCTGAAGGGAATCTGAAAGTAACTGGAGAGAACAAGGCTTTCAGCTAGTGCTGAGGCAGTCAGAGGCATGTCCAAACCCTAGGGACACACAGCTCATCCCATCAAAATCCAAGACATACGGTCTTCTCAGGTGCTGGAACAACTGCAGAGCTCACTTCAAAATAGAGACTGCTCTCTGTAGGAAGGACATCCTAATGCACACATATCCTTGTGGATCTGCAGGACTCCCTGAGGACACCAAGCCATCGCACAGAACAAGAAAACAACCTTGCCTGCTTTAAAAAGAAAAGGACACTAAACTAGAATTGCTGTGTTCAAAACTGAAACAAGCCACAACAATCTGAATGAACAATATATGTAATGGCTCACTGGCCACCTCTTTTCTGCATGTAACTCAAAACCAACTCCTCTAAAATTAGCAGAGCTATGCTGGTGCAAATGGAAGAAAAACCGAGCCCGACATAGTTCATATACAGCTCACAGACCATCAAAAAACCCTGAAAAATGAAGCATTCTAAGAGTGAAACAGCTGACCAAGAGAATAGGTAAGAATCACAAAAATCACAATAAACCCCTACATTCCTTAAGGCACTACTCCTCTCAGCAAGGCCAGAAGCAGTTCCAAATGCTGAGGGTGCAACCCATGGCAAACGGTGTGAAAGGATGGAGACAAGACAGGAGTTACAAAGGCTACATTCTACACTGTGACAGGACAGCGAGACACACACAGTGCCAGCTCCTACCTGGAACATGGAAATGTTTAGGGGCCTGAGCGTAAGTTGGAGTGAGAGGGCGACTGTCAGGCCGATAGGGGACAGGGGAGTTCCGACCGCTGGACGGCTCATTGCCTCCAATGAAAGAATGGAGAAAACAAAATGAGAAGAGGGAGAGCAATAATAAAAAAAAAAAATTAAAAAAAAAAAAAAACAAGGCAAGCCCAATCAAACCCAAACAAAACTGGTGGAATCAAAACCTCCAAGGAGAAAAGAAGTTGAACCAAAAGTATAAATACAAACAATAAGGAGAGCTGGTAGTAGCCCTGGTGAATTTTTTTTCCCCCCTGATCTTCCTGCAGAGACAAAAATTCTTGTTCAGGCTGGAGTTGAGGTTTGAGCAGCTCAGACTCATTCTGACGGCATGCAGGCAGGAGCTGTGTGCTTGTAGCTGGTGATTAGATGGGCAGGTCAGAAAAGAAGAATGGAAGGTTACTTGGCAATGATTTTTTAGTACAGAGATTGATATTTGGAATTAAAAGGCGCAAACATGGAGCAGAGTAGTTGATATGCAAACCCAAAGCAGATAGAAGCAGATGCTGGCAGTTACTACAGTTCACTAAACCAAAAGTCTACAGAAACCAGAAACAGAAAATAGCTGTTAGGTCACTTGGTCCATATCAAAAGGCATAACTGTTTCACAAACACTCTTTCATTGGTTTAGGAAAATTCTGATATGGCAAAATAATTTGTAAAGCAGTGCAGCCCATTTGCTGGCTGTACACACCTTGTTCATGACACTCCAAATCTCTGTCAGTGCCAAATTTGCTTCTGATGACAATACTTCACCACTGCTAATTTAGCAAAGCTGAATCTAGGACCTGTAAATCTCAGCTCTAGTTTGCACACACAGTTTGTGCCATTTGTAGGATTACTCTTACTAGGGCTACCCCTCTGCCTCCTGACAATGCAGCACAGCAATCCAACAGCCCAGAAAGTTTATGTGCCTTGTCAGGGAGTCAGGGCTGCTGCACAACCACGATGGTGGACCCCAAGTATCAAGACTTAACGGCCAGATATCCATTCACATCTCTGTGTGTGTACCTTGAAAGAATGCAGCTGCCTCTTTTATTGTACCATTCTTCAAACTAGAGCAAACTCACACAAATAAAAACCATCTTCACAGGTGCTTATTTCACATGGGTGGGGGTGACCCCAGCAGTGAAGAGTAAGGGAACATCAAATCCTTTCAATTTTTAAAGTATACACAAGGGCTTAAAAACCCCTAGAAATGTTGATTAAAAAAGAAGGGGAAAAAATGGAGGGCGGAGGAGGGAATGATAACAAATACAGAAGGCTATAACACATAGGAAAAAAAAATTCAAGCCTGTTTCCTATGTCCTGTTAGAGGACCCAAAACCTTAAGACTCAGCACACTATTTATCTATTTGGGGTGGGGAAATAGGTGTGGGAGAAGGAAAAAAGAAGTTTTCTTTACAATTTATACATTAAATCCTCTTTTACTTGAACAGTCATCTACCAATCTAAAAGGCACTAAAGGAGGAAAAGAAAAGCTCTTTTACAAACCTTGCTGAGATGTGCCCCAGAGGCTTCAGCCAGTATACAAGTTAACCCACTGCATATGAATGCTTTAAAAAGTGCATGCACAGTTCAGGGGGCTTGGGTATACAAAATTTGTCCAGAAGAATGCATGTACAAAATTCTGTATTTATCACTGACATTTCAGCCCTAAATGACATGATTCTCTCTTAACCACATGTGTTGATGGTGGTTTTCTATTCTTAGTGCAGTGATGTTGAATTTCTGGCTGGGTAACAGTAAGGGCTACCTCTGAAAAGCAGCATGAATGATTAGTTAAACATTATTGTTTATCTCAATCTATGGCCCTTTACTTAGCAATGCCAATATTGTGTTCTACTTCTCCACCCTTTGAGATATTGTGATGGTGAAACACTTCATTTTACTCAAGTCTCTTGATTCTACTGAGAAATTATGAGTTACTTTTCAGCAAAATCATTGTTTTGTAAGGGAAAAACCCATCAATATTAATATGTCTTGAGATACAGTTAGTTGTTTATAGAGAACCTGTCACTGCCTTTTTGCTTTCTTTGGAAATTATATTCAATGGAAGAAAAAAAACCAAAAGGGATTTATTGACCTGTGGACTTGTCTCAATAGAGGAGTCACAAATACATTTTACCCATTGGCAACTGGTAGACTAAATGTGTGCATGTTCAATTTGCAATGCTTCTATCACCAACACTACAAATACAGGGAGGAAACCCTCCTTAGACCCCTCTCTACCCCTAGACCCAGATAAGTGTGCTCACACCCATTCATGTATGCTGGCTGGTCTTGCATCAGGGACACAGATAATTTGTTCAGAGAGAACTGGACACGTTGTACAATGCACCCAGCACCAGGCAGACAGTTACTGTGGTATCACCCTGAAGGTGATGCTTTACAGACGCCTCTGCTGGCTTATATTTCCTGTTGTACCTAATGACTCCTGCTAGTAGAAACAAATAACTCCCCTTCACACTTCCTACGATGGCAGCCTCATTGCCTCCAATCTGTTCCAGAAGGAATGGTACATCCACTTAGATTCCCATTAGGCCATCCCTGAGGAGCCCACTCTCATAACGAGGCTTAAGTGCTTGGGATGCAGCTGCAAAACCACCCACAATTTATGGAAGCAGTGCCAACATCTGCAGAATGTGCATGTGCACAGAGGAAAGCAGAGCTCCTGGCTGCCTCTACCTGTCTCCCAGGGCCTCATGGCCAGCCTGCTTGCAGCTTTACATAAAAACCCATTAAATCTGGGTTCCTTGCCTGCACAGAAATGGCTCTCTTACTGTTGCAGATATGCTGTAACTACTCTTAACTCCCCAAAGCAACAAGAGCACTCCAGTTCACCAACACTGTAGAAAGAACTAATTCTCACACCCTTGTCATGAAGTTGAATATGTCTGTGTGTAGGTGGGGGAATGTTAAAGAGATAATGGAAGAAGCTTAATGTAAAAATCAATCACTGCAGCACAGCAAAAGGGAAATTCAGAGGTTTTTTAAACTTTCATTCTCTTTGCTCCATCAGGTAGTTGTTTTCTATAGCTGAATTTGTTAGGCAAGCTGCCCTAACAGCCAGGAATAGAATTGCTTGCCCACACACAGCCCAGTGTAATGCAGGTCCCTGCTGCCTTCTGAAGTGCTCACCATTGGGCTCACTGTGGGATTCACAAGCTCAGCTCATAGAATCAGGCCAAAAAACCCATATGCAATCAACACTGAGCCTTCTGTCAACCTGCAACCAACACTGAGCCTTCTGTCAGGTTCCAGTTTAGTTGCTCTACTTCTGAGTAGACATAGGAAAACAAGCTCAACAGCACCTGAAACCCTTACTCCTGTTCAGGTTTTGTCAAGCTATCATGCATCTTCTTGTCCACATGTGTACCCATTATATCACATAAAAAACTGAAAATCATTGAAAAGCCAATACTCAACTGTTTTCCAGAGCAAAACTTTCACCTGCATCCACAAAACCCTGGAAACAGTCACCAGGTACAGAGAGCATTTGATTTCAGAGACCTGCCTCAGGGAAGGAAAGAGGGAACCTGTGAAAACCAAGGTCCAAATTCTCTATGAAGTTTGGTAGACTCTTCATGGGAAGGTCTGTGAGCAAAGGAATACACATTACTTTGGAACCCTTCTACGTGGAAATCTTATGGGGGCTTTGCAATACTCTTGAATGCCTCTAAAAAATTCTAGGCATGCAAGATGAAATCCTGGCTCTCAATGAGGGTTTTGTCTCTGATTTCAGAAGGGTCAGGGTTTCTTTCATTCGTGGACTTGTTTTGATTCTTTCATAGCAAAGACAGTGCTTTATTGAGACAAGACCAAATTCAATGGAGAGTCCAAATTAGATTAAATGAAGTCTAAGCTGATGTATATTACACACTCTTCCAGCTTTTTCAACATATATGTTACATCAACAAACTCTCACTCTAAGGCGTCTTTAGCCCCTTTCACTCCTCCAATTTCTTTACTTTTGGCTGTGTTTATGAGGTTTAATCAGTATGCTTCTTTAAGCCTTATGTTGTATGAAAACACACTGAAACTGGTCTAAATGTCTTCTTTTCTGGCCTGAGTATACAAAATAACACAGGTGTAATGTGCCGTATGACACTTCAGTTATTATTAGGCTACTGGGAAATCATGCCCCTTTACCAAAGCAGTTTTAACATGATCTGTATTTTCTGACTCCCAAAGGGAAAAACCCCATAAGTTATTATTTTGTGAAATCTTTCTTACAAACCAACATCAAGGTCACCTTCTTGCTAAAAGTACAAGTGAGAAAGGCAGAGCCACTCAAAAGATCACATGGTGCCTCTTCTGTCACAGTGCTATGAATTTGAGCATCCAGCAGCTTGGCGGAGTTATGACACATAAATGCTGTCCAGGCCTTCTGAAAAGTGAGGATTCCTACAACATCCTTCAGGACATACCTGATAAAAACCATCCTCCCCTCCTCTGTCTACAGCACTTGCAATCCCATTTGGCCTTCTCTAACAGTAACTGAGAAAGATACCTGACCTACATGCCAAGGAGATTCTTTGCAATCTGAAAACAATAAGCATGGATTTCCAATAGTTCTTCTCATTTATCTGTTGAAGAAGCTATTTTCTCAACAGAAAAAGAATGAAAATGCCACCTGAAAGAGTGAGAGCATTTATCTGGATTTACAGCAAAGAAATGTTGAAATTGCAAGGACTATGAATTAACTGCATGCTGAAATGAGCAGTATAGCTATTTTTAAGGGTCCCAATCTTTTTAAGTGAGATTTTTTTAGAAATAGAGATATAGTAGAAAAGTGGACAGTGCAGATTATCAAAAACAATCTTAAAAAAGGCAAGAGTAAAATTAGTGGTGGTTATCTGAATGCTTAAAGAGCTGTGATGCTGAGATCTATTAATATTTATTGAAACTTCATGGCAACAACTTTCTTGCAACTGCTTTTGATTATCTCCAGTTTATGAGTATCTATAATAATCAATGGTGCCAGATTGGAATCTATGTTCAATTTATTCAGCTTTGTCTTTCTGAGCTCTTGTAGGTGATATAAGCTATGACCTTCTCCCCCAAAACAGAAGAGATGGCCCAGCCAAGTACTCCAGTAAAACTCAGAGTAAAACCACATTCACAAAAAGCAAGAAACAAAACTAAAAGCTTACTGAGCTAAATGAGTCCCTTGAAGGGACACAGTGAAAGAAGAATCCTTGTCCAAATCAAACCATGGAAAATAAAAGACTGAAAAAAAGACCAGATCCTCAAATAATGTAAATCCTTGCAGTGCTACTGCCTTCAGCAGAGCCTGCTGATTTGCATTAGTTGAGGAGAGGCCTAGAGATTTTAATTTTATTTTGTTGAGTCCTAATTATTGCCAAGGTGAATAACAATGATTAAGTTCCATTTTGCCACTGATCTTTATATAATCTCTTTTTTTCCCTTCTTCATAGTTTTGATCACCTTGCCCTCATTCAGGCATTGCTGTAATCAAATTTTCACTGCATGTTTTAAGAATGGGGCGGTAATAATTAAATTTGATAAACTAACCAAATTTTCACTGCACGTTTTAAGAATGGGGCAGTAATAATTAAATTTGATAAACTAACTAACCAAATTTTCACTGCATGTTTTAAGAATGGGGCGGTAATAATTAAATCTGATAAACTAACCAAATTTTCACTGCATGTTTTAAGAATGGGGCAGTAATAATTAAATTTGATAAACTAACTAACCAAATTTTCACTGCATGTTTTAAGAATGGGGCAGTAATAATTAAATTTGATTAACTAATCAAATTTTCACTGCATATTTTAGGAATTGGGCAGTAATAATTAAATTTGATAAACTAACTGCTGAAGGGATTGTTGTGTACCGCTTTAGAAAGAAGCTAAATTCGGCACATACAGGTTCTGAGCAATAAATGAAAATGCTTCTCTGTGTATTTCTACCAGGTAAAAGCTTGGTGACTCTTCAACTAGGGCCCTTAGAAATGACATATTTCCTCCAGAAAAAGGACATTATGTCTATTCTAAACGTAGTTCTGAGTGCAGCAGCACATTTCGAGGCATGCTCAGCTACACAGCCATCGGCGACCTCCCAGAGCCACGCCTTCACAGCTCTGCCAGAGCGCCAACAGGTCTCCAGGTGGAGGGTACTCCCTGGAGAGAGGCCTGGCTCCTTACCTTTGGCATGGGGGATGAAGTGGTGTCGGAATGGGGAGTTGGGGCGGGAGTCATGGAGCGCGGGGCCGCTGCAGCGCGGGGGTGCCACGCGCCGCGCGCCCAGAGCCAGCAGCTCTGCGGCCACGGGCAGGCAGGGGCAGGACAGAACGGAGACAAAGAAAAGCAATAAGAGACAGGCAGGGAAGGAGGCTTCGAAGGAAGCAGGAGGAAAAAAAAGGCATTGAACAATTAGGATTCTGGAAAGAAGGAAGGAGAAAAGAAAAGAACAGAACGGTTAAAGACGCACCAACGGGCCCGTAAATGTTACGACAAAATTACAGGAAGTGTTAGAAGAGAGGCTTAGGCTTGAACTGCATGGCTAATTTAGCATAACATCATTGGCTTAATGAGCTTCTGAGCAATGCCTTGTTACCAGAAAGTAGCCTGCTACCAGCATGCAAACATCACAAACGTTGACGCTCAATTAGTTAAGAAAGCAGCTGGTTTAAAAAGTGCCTGACCAAAAAATGTCAGTCAAGAGGCATGCAAGCTGTTTTCTATTGTTTTAAGACATTCCAAAAATGCTGCCAACATCAGCTAGGGCACCAGGGGAGGAAAAGGCTGCAAACTTTTTCAGAATTTGTAGCACTTGGTTTTTGAAGAACCTTATCCTGACAACGTCAGTACAGCAGTTCACTTCTCTCTCAAGGGCTAGCTGGGAGCAAAAGAGAAGTGATCTGGGGCCACTGGGTGTATTCAGAGAGAAATTATTCTTGCAAAATAGTATGGTTAAAAGAATTTCTATTAGGAGGAAAAAATATATATGTTTGTGCTTATTATTCAATAAATAATTACTGTAGGAAAATTATTAAAGTAGCTTCAACAACTACCCCAAAACAGGGTAGGAAACATCAAATGACAAATATACAGAATTACTTCTGTGTCATATGAGGATCAGTAACAGGTGAGCACAAGATGAGATCATCTGAACATAGATAAGTTTGAACAAATATCTCTCCAGAAAACCCTTCAGGCTGTGGACTTTGGAAGATTTTACATTGGCTCACAAGTCTGGCTTGAGCCCATCTGCCCATCACAAGAGTTACATAAACAGAGATTGCTTCTGGGGAAGGCCTTTGACTGAACACAGACAGTAAAACTCAATCACAGTCAAGTCTGGAATAGGGCCTGGATTTGTTCATATCCCTGAGACAACAGATAAAAATGGAAAAATCCCCTCAGACATGGAGAACCAAGGGACAGAAGTTTGCAGCTTTTTCATGTTTTCAGGTCTCTTTCAGTTTCAGTTGTAACGTCATCTTAAAACACAGTCATGTTGTCAGCACCAAGTATCAGACACAATTTGCTTCTGTCCCACCTCCCTTGGGACCCTTAAATAAGGCATTCACTGACAGACACAATTGGCTGCTTTCAGCCCATCCCCACTAGGAAATGGCTACAGCATTCAAGTTCCACAGTGGTGGCTCTATTATGAATCTTTAATTTTAAAAACGCAGCTCCTATTGCATATGGGCTTTTGGCTGTAATCACCAAGGAAGATGAAACCATGCAATTGTATCAATTAATTTAAAAACAGATCACAAAGATTTAATTCATTACCATACACAATAAAATCAGTATTTAAAAGTCTTCAATGAGTAGCATTTAGCCATATACATTTTTATGCATTTTGGGTGTGGATGAATAGTTCATTTTCATATCTTGCTTTTAGATACACAACCAGTAATTTTCAAGGCACTGGGAACCTGAATGACCTGTACATTTTCTTTACTGTACTGCTAAACCAGAAAATAAAGTATGTTTTCAAGTGTTCCCAGGCAATTGCCTACAGCTTTAATTAAAAAGATACCTTCTGAGTCCATGTCTTAAAAAATGACAAGCAATTTGGAACATATGGGTGTTTTGCTTCTGAATATGAGATTCTATGGCTGCACCAAGACTTAAAGGAATTTTTTACAAGGGAATAAACCTAAATTACTAACTTCTGTACAGTCAAGCCGTAATTTTTGTTTCCAATATGTGATACTTTTCCCAAATTCCAGAATGAACTTTGTGATTCACTGCTGCAAATTTTTGCTTGCTTTCAGAAGCGTACAAATATTTTTAAAAGAACTGATTGGAAACAAAACCAGAAGATACATATTTATGATGCAAGAAACAGGCTAGTGCAAAAGACTATGTCAATCCAGAACAAAAAAACCAGGTAGAAAACGAGACATTAAAATACACAACAATTTTTCAATCCGAAACTTCCACTTCTAAGAGAAAGAAGTGCTTCACTGCACCACTGAGTGGCATAATAAAGAAACAGTATTTTTGCATGGATCTGCAATGCAGTTGGCCTTACCAGGTCTGTGGAAGTGCTGGGGGGAGCGTGACATGGTGGGGGTGTAGCTGTGGCGGCTGTACACGGGAGAGTTGATGGAGCCCTGGCTGGTGGACCTGTGAATCATGCGGTCCCGAACGTCCTGGTAGCCCTGCAGGACAGAGGCAGCCACTGGTAAATGGAAATGCACAGAACACATTTTTAGCAGCACTTAAGTTCTGTGGATCTGAAGGCATCAGCAGAAGCGACTGAAATAGCAACATCCCTTAAGCTTTCAACCTACTTCATTAGCACTGCTCTCCAAGGATCTGCTCCAACCCACTTTTACAGTCAGAATTCAGTCGTGGAAGAGTTGGAACCTGTAATTTCTATTAAGCTGTGTAACAGTCCTAGATTTGCCCATGTTCCCTGACTCCATAATGGAAGCTGCATCCAGAGCATGTGTGTCCTGCAGTGTCCTGCACAAGACACATCAACTGGCCATCAGCAAGCTAATGGAGCTTGGAGACCAGCAAGAATTCAAGAGCTGCAGCACAGAGCTCTCTGTGGCTAAACTGACCATGTGTCACCAGCTGTATCAGCAGGTATTTATATCCAAATCAGATTCCCCATGCATCTGAAAACATGACACCTTGTACAGCAAAATTCAGTTTACTTGGTTTCCTGGGGGTACAAAAGCCAATAAAAGAAACAAAAAAACCCCCAGAAAAACAAACTACACCCTCACCCCCTCCCCTCCATGAAACAAACTAAACCAAGACAAAAAGGAAAGGACTGATGAATGCATGAAGATTTACAAGAAATTTACAGTCCCTTTATTTTTAACTAGTAGCAATAAGTGCAGCTTTTATGTTGCAAATAAGCAATAGGATAATGCAATGATAATGATTCCGCAAGGGCATCGATTGTATCCTGACAAATGACTTCCCAACTCTTCCATATAATTAAGATGTTCAAACTCACTCCTCTGGCAAAGCAAAACCAAACCAGACCATAGTTATGTTTTCTTCAAGAGAAAATTGCAAATGTTTCAGCAGGAAATATGGGTTGTTATTTGGATGCTTAGAACAGCATTTTATCTGCTGTAAATCCTGCAGCTCCCGAGACCTGAATCTGCCTGTGCCACGAGGAGCAGGAATGCACCAGAAGTGACACCTGCTGGACAAAGGGCTCTGCTTTAGTGGGAGGAACGGCAGCTTCACTTCTTGTACAATATGAGCTTCATGTTTCCTTCTTAGAAATAATTTTTGTTAAGTTTCTACATTGAGAAAACATGCCTGTGTGGCAAACACAGATGGATCTGACTGACAAGAAACCCAATGCCTACAACTGGCTCGAGGGTATGATTCTAGTCACAGAAGGACACTGCCCCCAAAGGTTCCACCAAACTTACTTCTGCAGAAGGGGTGGGTGATAAAGTCCTTGGAGACTGCAAAGACATAAAAAATAAGGTTATGAAATATCATTGCATATGCTGGGCCAGAAAATGGTAATCTAAACATTGCTGCAGGTACTCTGACACATGACAGTGTAAAGTGGCAATGCAGAAATTATTGAGACCATTCCAGCACTGGAACCTGCTTTTTCCACATGGCTCAGGGACTGGTCCATAAATCACTGACGTTTAAAGTTTCTGGGAGAATCTTTTTAAGCGTGATTAATTCAGTCAAGTACCATGCAAGATCATCTTAGTCATCTAATCACTGTGGTAATTAAAACATAGCTGCAAAGATCAAAATCAGAAAGAGTTATTAATTTAACAACCATGCCTGTCATGAAGAAATCTTTAAAATGGAAATCAAAAGTAAATAAACTTAACTCAGAGCTTTTGCATGGAAAATCAGAGTATCTTTCAGGATGAAGCATGTTTTCCCTCCAACGCATACACTCTGGCAAAAATGTGCTTCTCCCCAAGGCCTTACATTTCATACCCATGCAAAGGAGCACGTAGTTGTCATCAGCATTTCTTTGATGTGACCTCCTTTAAATCTCTGTGTTGCTCCATGGTTACGTAAGGAGAACAGACAGGAATTACAAGCATGTGTATTGGAAGAACTGCACAAAGGCCAGTGGGCAGAAATATGCACAATATTATGAAAAGTTTCTGTAACACCTAGGGAAACTGAGGCCAGAAATGCCTTTAGAAGAAACATATGATTATGCATATGCTGATGGTACAAACAAGAATAAAAGCTATGTGTAATTACCAGTTATGTGCTCTTCAACCACCAGGAAATTTGAAGCTGGGAGATCAAGATTTAATTATTTCCTTTGTGCACAAAACTTCAATATTATTTGTCATAGTAAACTGGGCAAGAGATTATGCCTTCAAATAAGACCACAATTATAGAATGATATGGCTATTAAGATAACATCTCAGAAGCAAAACTGCTGATTCTGGTCCAACTACTACACTAATGTAGAACAGCAGTAGTGTAAAAAGTATGCAGTTTCTGGTAATAAATATCCAGCTGGTAAACATCCATAAATTTTGGACTGAGAGACCATTCACTCATGGAGCTGGTGACACTGAGAATGCTAAGTATCCAAACAAAGGAACAACATTTTTTACTGGATAGAGAACAACTCCTTTTCAGCAAATTTCCATAAAGCTGTTTAAAACTGCTTTTGCTACTTTCCATCAAAGTCTTGAAAATATTTTATATTCCTATTTTCCTAATTCCTATCCTCTAACACCAGCAGCTGTAAAAACTTTTCTCCACCTTCCTCCTTGCTTTGGAACAACATTTTCTACAAAAACTCAGAGCTAACCTAAAAAACTCAGAGCTAACCTAAAACGTTCAATATGAACGAAAAAAGCACATGTTGTGAGGTGCATTCTCACATTTTTCTCCTAGCAATTCATGTGTTACTCTAAATGAATGAATTTCTATCATCTGCTGGGGTTACCTGGATGCTGAGGTAAGGCCTACAGTAAAAGGTAGTCACAGGAATGTAAGACTGGGAAGGCAGCCGAGAAAGTAGCATGCTGAATCCAGGTATTTTTCCTTCCATGTATTTTTTCTCCATCACTAGCTGACGTGGCTTTTTGGGAAATGGAAGCTCACTCTGCAGCCAATTTAGTGTTTCATCATGCACAGGTGAACTGTCAGATCTCAAATTCAAAGGCTGCCAAGGAATGTTTGCTTCTCCAGGTCTTTCAAAACCTGGTCTATCACAGAAGGCCACACTATGATCAGTTTGAAACACACTGGGCAGGTGAGTGAGAAAAGCAGCTCAATCCCAGAACAGCAGGCCAGTGGAAATACAGTGAGGGCTCCAGAAGGGGAAGGGGAAAGGGAAGAGGAAGAGGGCTTCTTCTGACCAAACTTATATAAAAATTTCTACTGCAAAAGTCTCAATTCTCAATTCCTTTGTGATCTGAGAGTTTTCTCTAATACCTGAAGCCACACAGATAATTTTGTCATCTAGGAAATTTCTGCTAAATTTTACAGGTATCATTCTGCATGCCACACTGATCTATTTTAGCAGTCTTTTAACCAAACTACCAGATAGGATCCCTGCTCCACTTGGAAGCATCTATCATGTTAGAAAAAATTATTTTTTCATTTCATGTCTGCTTGTTTAGTGAAATGTGTTTCAGAGCATTTAGTGCTTTCAACAAACAGAATACTTGAAATAAAGGTCAGAGAGGTGAAGTGCTGCTTCTCAATATATACCAAACAAAAGCTGCAGCTGAGAAAAGACGGCCTCGGAGTTCACCAGGCTGCTGCTTGCAAGGCAGAAGTGACAGATCCCGAAGAACCTAAATACCTGGCAGGTTCTGATAACTTTAATTAATTTAACTAAACAATTTCCGATCTGGTTTGTGACTCCGAGGGCGGTGACAGGCGGAGAAAGCCCGCACTCTCCGCCAGAGGGCGCCGGGACAGCGCGGGATGAGGGAGTGAAGGAGGCCTGGAGGCTGGGAACCGGCCCTGCCCTGCCCGGCCCTGCTCTGCCCCTGCCCTGCCCTCCTCGGCCATGCCTGCCCCTGCCCGGCCCTGCCCTGCCCTGCCCTGCCTTTCCTTGCCCTGCTCAACCCGGCCCGGCCCTGCCCTGCTCGGCCCTGCCCTGCCTGCCCCTGCCCTGCCCGGCCCTGCCGGGAGCGCAGCCCCAGCCGGCCCTGCTCACTGCCACAGTTTTCTCGCTTTCTGTGCCCAAAATCTATCATTTTCTGACAGCCTGTTCCCTAGAATTACGGTTTGTGTCCATCTCTGTGCATCTTCCCTTGTCCACCCAAAAATCTCTCTTTGCTGAGACTGCTGATATTTTTTTCCCCCTTTTAAATCATGGTGAGGTGTCACAGACATATTTTCTGAAAAATCCTTTGCTAGGATTTTTCTCCTGAGAAGCTGAGAGGCCTCAGAAACAAAATGTAAATAATTATCTGCTGCTGTGGAATGTGGCAGGTGCATCTTTGATTGGTCTAATGTGGATTGTTTTTAATTAATGGCCAAGCACAGGTCCAGCTGTGGTGGGATTCTGGTCGGTCACAAGATTTTATTATCATTCCTTTCTAGCTTTCTGATGTCTCCTTTCTCTTTCTTTAGTATAGTTCTAATATATAATTTTCTTTTCATATAATGTATATCATAAAATAATAAATCAGCCTTCTGAAACATAGAGTCAAGATTCTCGTCTCTTCTCTCATCCTGGGGACCCTCAAACACCACCACAGTGAGGGGCATTTCTCGTTCTTCACGCATAAACTGAGGGTCCCCTTTTATTTAACACCACCACATACACACCCTTTGCAAAGAGAATGCAGGATAAATCACTGCACAACTGAACATGTCACCTTCTTTGCTTTTTAAAGATGATGGGGACTGATGTATGTTGTACCAAGACTGCTGTCACTCGATTACCACAACACAAACGCAGGGTAAGGGATCACTCCACCCCAATGGGCTTGTGTTCTCATTAGGACAAGGGAAGGGATGAGAAACAGATACAAAGAGGTGAGGTAACTTGCCCAAGGTGACAGAAGTCAGCAGCAGCATTGGGTGAAAACCCAAGATCTTCTGAAAAGAAGGTGAGAGCCCCTTCTGTTTCCAGAACAAATTTCTGTACTCACTAGAAATTCACTGAATTTAATGCTGGTGAAAATATGGTGTAAGAAAACCCCAAAGACTTCTGCTTATTCCCAGAACAAGCATAAAAGCAGACAGCTTACACCATACTGCTTTATCAGCTTCCAACATACTGCTTTGTCAGTAAGAAGCTCCCCTTTAAGGATTAACATGTAGTTCACCTTCTCTGTGAGATTAGTTCCCCCCGTGTGACTAACAAGAGACGTGTTTGTAGCAGGTTTTGTGGAACGGGTCAGGCCTGTTGGAACTGGTCAGAGGTCACCAATGCTTCTCACAGTGGTTTTGAACCAGATGCCAGCTGGATTCACTACCAATATAAATTGGAGGGGAGAAATTCTGTAATGTTCTGACCTGTTAATCTCTTATTTTATTCCTGAGCTGAATTTCCAATTCATGATTTAAAAAACTATCTCTGTAAAACATTTAAGAACAAAGGAGAAAAACTGATGTAGTTCTGACCTTCTGGTGGGCAGAACACTGATAAGGAAACAGATTATTAGTCACACATCTACAGACCACTGGTGCCTGAATGATTTACTGTAATTCTTTGTTCAACTTATCTTCATACTCAATTCAGTTACAGTCAGGTCACTGAGATTGCAGCAGTAAATCCATTTTCACGTCCATTTAGATGTGCATTCAGGAAGTCTGATTCACAGACAGATGGTATTACACAACAAAGCCTGCTCCACAGACTGCACTGGGATCATGTAAATAGTAATTGCAGCCATGGAAATTCACCTGAGAAACTAGGGACCACCAATATGAAGGACACCTTCACATACAAGTTTAGAAGAATAAATGACAGTGTTTTCTTATTGCTGCATGTTAGAAGAACCCTTACTAAATGACAGCAGGTTAAAATGTGAGGCAGGTATTTGTATAACACAACCTGCTTTCCCAGGTGGAAGAGCACTTCATACTGACACAATTTTATCCAGTATGTCTGGCAAAGTGCTCTGGTGATTTATATTTCTGTGAGATAAGTATCCTGCTGCTCCTAGTCCATGGAATATCACGGTATTCCTCCTATCCTCCTGTGAATATTAGTGCTCCACAGCACAACAGCACATTGGCTTCTGCCCCACATGCCTTGCCATTCCCAAAGATTCGTTATCCATGGGAGCTATGAGGAGGCAGAACAGCACACTGGCTTTTGCCCCACATGCCTTGCCATTCCCAAAGATTAGATATCCATGGGAGCTATGAGGAGGCAGAACAGCACAGTGGTTTTTGCCTCACATGCCTTGCCATTCCCAAAGATTAGATATCCATGGGAGTCATGAGGAGGCACACAGGGACAGCCTGCGGAGCTGCCCCCTGTGCTGATGTAGGTGTCTGACCCTGCAGCCCCACACGTGAGGCAGCACCCCATACCCCAGATGAGACAGACACAAAGCAGTGTGAGCAGCAGCAGCAGCCACCTCCAGCAGTGCCCATGGGAAGCAAAGCAGGCTCTGGATGCAGTGCACAGCAGAATGAGGTGCTGGTAATGGGTCATTACCTCTCCAAGACTCTGTCTCTCCTGTCTGTCCTCGTAGGCGGAGGTGTAGAATGGCTCATAAGTAATTAGGTCTGGACGTTCAATGTCATAAATGGCCTTGACTTTGGGAATGGCTGCTAAATCCTTGTAATCAAGGATTTCATTGTCTACTTTTGCCTAAAGGTCAAAGACAGAAGATAAATTAATTTACACAAATGCACTGGCAATTTCTGTTTTACACAATTCATGATTTTGTGTATTTGTTGTCACACTGTTGCTATGGAAACCCCTTTTTGGCACCCTACATCTGGAGTGAATGCTTCTTGTTCTTCTCCAGCAGGCCTCCTCTGCAGCAGCTCACAGTGTTTTCTCTCCTCTTAGGGAAGAAAGAACATGGCATATATAGATCTAGTTACAAAAGTTTTTTTATCCCCAGTAGTGAGCTGGAAACTTCAGCTCTGCCAATGACTCATTTTGTGGCCTCAGGCAAGTATTTTCACCTTTCTGATCTTGTTTTCCCATATGCAAAATGGGTGATAACATCAATTTAGTTTGCAGATTACAGAGATTACAAAAGGATTTCATGCTGAAGACCACAGACAGATACTCAATTTATAACTGTGCACACAAGAGGAAACAGAACTTATTGAAAAGAAATAAAAAGACAAGGAGGACTGTCAGGACTGGGTATCCAAACTACCAGATAAAATAATTACATTGCATTCATCACTCATCCTATGCCCAAGCTTCGGACTAAAGCATCCACGCCTTACCAAATACATGGTGCAAGCATGGACTGGTTTTTTTTTTTCCACTAAGACTGCAAGGAGTTAAAAAAGTAGAAGTAGGAAATAAATCCCCAAGTCAGCTGCACTCATTACAGGGAGACAGAAAGAGGCCTTACATTTAGTTTGGATAACTAATATATTTCTTTACTTACAGAAAGACTTTAAATAAATCATCATTTTTATCTACCTTAGAGAAATACATTTATGACTAAACCTGAAATATATTCAAAGTGTTTTTCAACACTTCTAAAAGATAGTTTATTCACAGTAGACTGCATAAGGAAACTCACATTGACTTCTGCTCTTTCTCAGTCCTAGCACCTAGTAATTTCAGATTAATATGCATTTCACAAGCTCTTTAACAACCACTGGTCTTGGCAGTTCTTAAGAAATGCCTTAAACTAGAAACAAAACCTTTCTTGCTAGAGAAGCAAGGTTTGAAATATTTGGGACATTCACTCTCTACAAACAGACTCAAATCTGTTTAGCTTTTAATTACCAGATATTAAAAAATACCTTAAACCATTTTAATCCTTAAAATATTTAGGTATATCAATATATGTTATTTCTGTAATATTTTTACCAGTTTGTTAATGAGGTGCAAATATGTCTGGATACTCTTAATCCAATATAAATTATTACAGGTATTTTTGTAGACCTTGATCTAGGCTGCCATGTTGCTCCACAGACAGTGATTTTGAGCAACAATTTATTTTCATAAGCAACAGATTATGAAGTTGATATTACCCACATAATGGCAGTTCTCCAGGACATGCTTTGTCTTTTGATATATGCAGTGTAAACACTTTTCATATATCAGCTTATTTTTGTGGTTGTTGAAATGCACAGAACTAGAGTTTAACTCAGGACGTGAGATTTTTAATTTTGGACCTTTTTTTCTGCATTATTATAAATGTTACTGCCTAATTTCTGGGTTTTACCCTACATTTTCATCTTTATAATCTCAAGGTAATTGATAAAACAGTGATTTAGCATTATGCTTAATAACATTTTTTTTTCCTAAATTAAAACCACCTTTCCTTTCACAACTGAAAAATCTGATTTCTGACCTGGAAGGTGTTGGATCAGATTGGTTTCTTTCAGTGTAGCTGACCCTGCTCCCCACATTTCCTAAGTGCAAGAGCAGACCTCTCAAAAATTGTGTATCAAAGTGCACAGATCTCCTCACAAAATCCTTACAAAGCCAAATGACCCCTCTGCCCTCTATCCCTCTTCACACCACGAAGTGACATCCAAAGATTTACTGTAACCTTTCCAAGAGAAATGTGACCTAGAAAAGGCCTACCCTGCTCTTGAAACCCTGCAGCTATAAAGGCTACATGGTGAAGGTTTTTAACAATTTAAGCACTAAAATAAAGCATCAGTATAAAAGTGATTTATTTCAGCATGAGTAGCTCATGTGCAAGCAAAGGCTCAGCAGCTTATTCATCAGCAGGAATACTTACATAGATAGTGTGGCCTGGAGAGCCAGGTATACTGGAACCTGGTCTGGAATAAATGCTTTCTGATGATGTTCTTGTAGGCTGAAAAACAAAAGGGAACTTTTGAGAGCAATCTGAAGCCATTAATGTTGGCAACTTTAAGTGAAGAAATCTGCATATATCTTGGAAATAACTGAATTTAAGAAAAATGTCAACACAAATGCAAGCATTCTGGCAAATTCCACAATCTTGTGAGGCAAGTGGGGTTTGGTTTTATTTTTTTTTGGGTAGGGGAAGGAGTGGTGTGAGAGGGGAAGAGGTTTTCTAAATCATACAGTGTAAAAGACTAGACTGACAACAATAATGAACAAAATTAAACAACACCTGCAGAGACACTGTAGGAGCCATACAAAGAACCATCCAGGACAGTCCTGCTGGTCATTTTAGCAAGAGGTTAGTTCACAAACCACTGTAGGGATCAGCAGTCCAGCAGACAAAACTGTTGTGAGGGGCACAGCACATGTGTAATCTCTTTCCAGCTGTTCAATCCCTGGACTTCCATTAGGAATGACATCAGCAGAACTGAATTCAGCCTTCCTAAGTAAAAGGACCTGAAATCCTTGGCTTGGAGCTGTTCCCCACATCTACAGCACAACCAAGATGCAGCAGGGAAGTCAAATGTTGGTTGCAGTGTCATGATTCCCCATACTGCAAAAGTCATGTTTAATGACAATGTCCTGAAAACTGAAACTCATGAGAACACTCTCATCCCTACAGAGCCAGTGCTGCTATATTTAGTAGATTTTCCAACACTTTTTCAGGACTAAACAGACACTGATGCCCTGGGGGAAGTTCTGTGAAAGGAGAGAAAACAACTGATGACCTGTGGGGATCCTGAAAACCTGATGCATTTGCAAAGTATTCTATTTGATCAAAAGTCTCCCTGGTTACTGTGATGATTACTGCTAAACTTGGCACACAGCACATAGACAAAGGTAGTCAAGTCAACAACATCCCAACTGCAACTGAGAAACCATCAACAATTTTTGCTCCCTAACTGACTGCAAAGAACCAAATCCCATCACAAAACCTTGTGTCAGCACAAGACTCTGATGACACCAGTGCAGTGGGATACCTTAAAGTCACTTAAAATTAAATCCTGGAAAGCAGTCCTTATCTCATCAGCTTGTGACATTAGGCCCCCTGGACTAAGGGACCTTCAGGCACACCTGAAGAGAAACAAGGCTTGACAGCCTGGCTCATTGTTTCACAGGAAATATTGGATGAACACAAAAAGGCTACTGGACCTATCTTACCTCTCAGCATACATTTCCTGAAGGAGCCTTCAACTGACCCCAGACACTTTCTACTTTTAATTTCAAAGCCAGAGAAGCTATTGGAAGCATCTGTATATAAAGTGCTGAAGACCGGTCATGGATTATACAGCAGGCTTTCTCTGACTTCACTTCTGAAAATTAAGTCACCACATTCTGGGAGGGTTAGAGAAACAAAAGGCTTTGAATATGTTCCACCAAAAAACGTAAGATTCAGATCAAACAGAGAGCAGATGTAGCTGTGGACTGACAAAGTCCTCTCCAGAGTATGTTTGAGAACACTTTCTCAGCTGGACCTTTACACGTTTCTTTTCTTTTCTCTCTGAGGCTGCAAATTCCTACATCTCAAAAGGGAACAGAATTTTCTCATCTGCCCTTAAGCTCCTCCCAAACCAATAAACCCAACAACAAACACTTGTTTCATGGAAATGTTACAAGAATTGAGCTGGAAAATCTGGCTGCTGTTGAGAAACACTTTATTCCCCCTTCCATTCTTCCATTTCACTCTGTTTGAGTGGAACACATGTAACATGTTGCTGCAGTTACTATGGAAAACAATTGTTTTCATTACAACATAGGGAACAGTATTAAGTACTTGAGGTACTTTTAGGGGTGTCTCTGTTACCTTTGGCTTTTGGCAGACATACTTTGAGAGTTTTGTCTGCTCAGTTTTCCCTGTTGTAGGAAAACAAGTGTTAGAGACAGTTATGGCTTATTCCCATTTGGCAGGCCCTTTGGATCTTTTATAATTGCCTCAAAAACAAGAAATTCTCAGTCCTCACTCCAGCTCCTTAGTTCCATCTCTTAGTGTCACTGTTAAAAACCTTTTTGTTTAAGGAAAATTCACTTGCATTTATCACTTCTGTGAATTTAATAAAGTTAGACACCTTAAGTAGATTCAGCTATATCCTGGTAATAATTTCTTAGGTGCTCTTAACCCTGGAGTACAAGAGGAATTGTCAGATGGACTGGCAAGTTGCAGCACCTGTTCTTCATTTCCTCACTGTGTTTCTGTTCCAAGTTCCTCTTCACCATCCCATTAACAAGGCCATGAGCCAGGAATGACACCCTTTAAATCAGTTTTCTATTTTCTGTGTACATCAATTTTACCTTCTGCCTAATGCAAAGCTCCCCACTGCCTGGTCAGGACACCCTGCTGCCAGCCACGGCCTGAGCACACTCTGCTCCTGCCCTGAGGAGCTGAATCCAAGCAGATTTGCAACTCTGAGCTCATCCAGCAGCTCCCAGTCCTGTTCCTTGCTTATTTCTAAACATACCCTTGAAGACAGTGCATGAAAAAGGACTCGTACATCTACTCTCACCCTTTCTGCCTCACTCTGCCCTATTTCTTATTTTGAGTTACACAGGCTGTTTCCATCACAAATGGCTCTTTCCTACCCTGCTTCTTCCCATATGGTCTGGAATCCTTCACAGCTTTGCACTTTCCCCTAAAGACAATTGCATTGCACTTAAAAACAATTATGCTGCTTGCTTGAACACACATACACCAAAGATTCCTTGATATAAGCTGTTCCTCTGACATACTTTTAGTTGCTATGGTTGACTCCTCTCCTATGAGGCCCATAAAAGCTTCTGTTGGAAAATCTGTGACCTGGTGTGGCTTTTATTAGACTGAATGTTACACTTTGATCCCTGACCCTGTGTAACACCATTGTGACTCTGTGTTTTCCACAGGTGGCAAGAGACACTCTGGAGGTCAAGTTCTCTATTGATGTAACTGCACTGGGGTGTAAATTCCATCCTGGAGGGCAGCTGATCAGAGCCGAGCTAAAATAGGAATAGGGCTGGCCCTGATGTAACCTTTAACAATGGAGATCTGGAGATAACACCAGTGCATCTCTTTCATACATTATTGAAAGAAAAAGGTGAAGAAAAAGGACACAATCTTTAATATGGATGCAATAATTTAGAGGTATTTGCTTCCATCACAATAGCCCTGTGACACTTGGTCTACACTCCCAGCAACAAGACAAGTTAAGCTGCCTTACTTCTTCTACAAAGAGATATGAAACATTTTTTATATGATTGTTCTTTTCCTTGAAGGATTCAAATACAGCCTTTTATAGAGCCACTTTTTGTGTAGAGAAATTTAAAGGAAATTTCTATGAAGAGCTAATCTTCTTTTTCTTTTCTGGTGGTACATGGCTTCTCCACATTTTCTGAGAGTTCAAGAGTCATCTTTTTTTCCTTTCCTCTTCCACACAAATGGATGTAACAGTAGTAAATATACCAATACAGGATGTCTGTACCAAATACAGAAAGTCTATGAAGTATATGAAAAAAAAAATTTAAGTCAAGAAAAATTCATGCATGTCATTAAAGGAGCCAAAAGAAAAAACAGATCACAAAGCATCTAAAGTATTTGCAAGATTTCTCAGTATTTCCCACTTTATCACAGACTTCTTATTTTTATGTTTTTGTTCTTCATTCCATGCATTTACCTTCAACACAAAAGTTCTTTACCAGTTTCATTTGCAGATTGATAGAGAGAATACCAACTGCCATGCTCATCCTCTAAGGTTCATCGTGAGTTGAGTGCTCAATTATCAGATCACCCATGCAGACGCCCCAAACTGATTAACTTGATATTTCACTATTAGACTACAAAGCTTAAGATGTTCATCTGCATTTACCCCTGTTTGTCATGTCATCATGCACAGTACATCATCTAAATAAATAACTTCTTAAAAAAAAAAAAGTCCCCACTAGAGCCATTCACATCATCCAGGTGCTGCTACAATGTGGTGGCTCTGGCATTCTCAAGTACAGATGTTCAGCATCATGCTCTGTAAAGACTTACAGGTGCAGGCAACCAGATCAGAACTGATCCCAAGAACATCTGGCCAAATGGATGCACTATGCTTTTACAAAGGCATCGTCACCATTTACAGTACCTGCCTTAATTTTTTGATAGAGTTCATTATGCAAGGCGGTGATAATAGCTGCAGAAGAATGAATATGTTTTCACTTAATAACATTTAACATTATAGCTTAAGAAAATTCTCTAAACCTCAGAAGCTACTTTAAGTGAAGCATATTTTAAATAAATAGAAGATCAGGATGGAATTTCTTGTCCTGAGCAGACTTAGCAACAGTAAGGGATTTGACTTTCTCAGTACAACACTTTTTACACTGACTACCTGCTCTATCGATTGCAAGGTTTTACAGTTGATTAGGATTTGGAATCAGGGTTCATAAAATATGGATTTCCTATGGATTTCTTTAATATTCAATGGCTGTGCAAGACCAACAAGGTCCCTCAATGTCAGCACTCTTTGTGCCTCTCTTTACCTTCTCCTTACAATAGTGTTTGCTTCAAATGCATGCATTCCTTATTTCTCTACACTAAATATACATCAAGACAAAACTAGTGTACAGGTTTAGTTCAAACTCACACAGACACAGATATTAATAGGTTATGACTAATTTTTCTTTCCTTTCTGGACATAAAGGCCAGAAGGGAGAATGAATTTTCAGCACATAATCACTGAAGATATGTTGGTACCAAACAAACTTCTACAATACTACTCATGCAAACTCAGCCTTCATCAAGAGTAAGTTAAGTTGGAAGAACAAGAAAATAAAGTGGGAAGTCCAAAACATACTGAATCCAACAAAAGCCTTCAGAGAATTCAGTGGATTTCACCCTACCGTTTTCTAACTACTATTTTCATGTAGATTCAAGCCTTTGGCCCACTTTTATAACAACAGTAGTGACAGTACCTTTGTACTTTGTCTACTCTGTAGAAAAAGACTTGAAGCCAAAATCTGCCTTCTAAATCACCATGTAAATCTAAACAGCATTTATTAGTGACCAAATTTACACAAGAGGATATTCATCTGACCCTAAGTTATTTGTTTCTACACAGTCTACAAAGCAAGAAGGAGAACACACCTGTATTTTAATATCGGCTGCTCCTATTTTGCCTTGTATATTTTTCTAATACATTGGATAGGATTGGGGTTTTTAATCCTGAGGCTCCTGGAGTTCAACACTGGAAACTCAGACTTGTGTGCACTAAGCCAAATGCAAAAAGTCACTACACTGGCCTAAAAGATGAGTGAAATTGTCCCACAGTTTTCTGTTCTCAGACTCCAAGATTTTATTCCATAAAGCCTAGGACTGAAGAGACACTGCTCTCCTTAGGAGCACTGATAACACATCTTTATGCTGCATTTTCTTGATACACAGATCTGTAGCTAACAGAGAGAGGTGTTCAATAGTAGTTAGGTAACTAAACCACGACGCAGGACAGAGGGCTTGCATTAATCCCCACTGAATCACAGAACTGAATTCCTCTGTCCAACTACATCTACTCTGCCATGAAGGATGTGAGGGGCGCACAAACCAACACCAAGGAAATCCAGGGGCATGGACTCTGCCTGCTGCCAGCCTGCACCAGGTCTGCACCAGGGCGCTCTGACTCCATCACCAGCTGAAAACCACCTCAGGTGCACCTGCACCAGCACAGCCACACAGCCCACAGCTGACACAACCAACAAATAAACACTGCTCTGAGGGAGAAGAAATGGAATTGGGCGGTGGTTGTAGGTACAAAACAAACTCAGTAAAATCTGAAAGAAGACAGCTACTCCAGAGTCAGGAGCACAGAAAGGACCTTGCAACTCCAGAGATAAATGCTCTCAGGCAGCACACAGAATATATCCAAACCTGGGGTTTTGTTAGCATTTTCTCAACTAAAGTATTCATGGGTAGTTGGTCAATATATATATAAAAAAGGAAGCAACCTAACTGATGGATTTTTTTCCCCCTAAAAACATAAGTCATTGTTCATGGAAAACTATTTCTTTTTAACCATCACTTTAAAGTCAGATATTTTTCACCATTTTCATTTGCTTCATATTTACACTCTAATTTTTTGTTTCAGAAGGAAAACTTTCTGAAATACTGGAAGACCAATACTACAGACCCCAAAAGCTCACTGAATCTAAAATAAAAAAGTTAATTGTAAGCATTTCATTAAACAAAATTAAAAAAATGTGAGAATTAACAAGCAACACTGAAACAAGTGATGCAAAATACAGCGTCAGTGCCCATGGTGGCAAGTGATAGCAGGAAAGCTGTGTGGCAGGAGTAGTAGCAAGCGCAGCAAATGACAGTAATGAGGAATCTTCTCAGTAAAGAAGATCATTATCAACACTATGAAAACACAACAGCAAACCTCTGCAGAGCGTGGCCTGCGCAGAACCAGACTCTTTGGATAAAAGAACTCAGATGAGGAATGCTGTCATGGAACACAAAAGGGAAAAATGAGTGAAAAGGAAAGCAGTTTCCCCAGTTCAGTGGTTAAGCTCTTTTTTTCAATCAAGTTTTTATCATCTGCTTGTGTTATAGTTTCTTACTTACTGACCGCTGCAGAATCATAACAGCCAGACAGTTGTAAATAAACACCAAACTATATATTTTTGTAACATGCATATGGTTGCTTTGTTTTCTGCTTGTTTTGTCTTTGCAAACTTCCACAAATATCCATGGGGAAAAGATCTAAAGCAACCATTGCTTTTATGAACTCCCCCTCAGATCTTGACCAGCTCAAATGCTGATTAGTTTATATCACAATTCAGTCACTGAGAGAAAACAGAACTTGCTGAAAACTTCTGAAGTTACTTCAGTGATAAAAGGGTTTTTGTTTTGGTTTGTTCTACAGGGAAAGGAAACCCAGCAAGCAAATAGGCAATGGCACTGGCTTTTTGCAGAACCATCAGAAAATCTAGGCCTGACCCTGAATAAAAAACTAAAATTCAATCAAAGTACATATCCCAATTTAGTGCTGACATGCTCAAATAGCAAAGAGTACTCCCAGTTTTGTTTGTTTCTGTACCTACCTGTTTGCTACTGTCTTCATTTAGGTCAACAGGATGAAGCACATGTCAAAGTCATCAAAGTGAACTCCAGCTGATATTAAAATAAGGTTCTGACTTTGCACCAGAGCAGACAATCTACGATGTATCATAGAAGCTAAAAATGGTGCATCTCAGCCAGCTTCAGTATGGTGCATCCATCAATGCCTTTTAAGGACCTATTAAACCTATGAAGGTCTTCTCCAGGAGCATGGTGCTGCAGGACAGCTCTGCTGTCACACTGCTCAGATGCTCCCTCAATCTGCCTTCTTCAGCTTCACATCCTCTTCCTCACTTAGGCAATGCCTTGCAGGTGAGTGATTCCATTTATTTCCCTCACTTCAATTAAAATTAGCTGAGGGGGGAGAATACTGACAAAAAGAGAAATACTTGAAGAGGACTACAGCCATTTCCATGGGGAATGGAAACAAGCAAAATGATTTATGAGGTCAGCTGGAGAAGGCTAATAAGGGCCACAGTGTAGTCAGGAGTGCTTTGATAAAACTCCTGGGTCCAAGTGAAAGGGAGGCATTGTACTGCAACCAAGTACTACAAGGCAAAAGCATTCTGACACTTAAGCATGGCCAAAATACTGTCTTACATTCAAACTGTTAAATGAGGAAGAAAATCCAGTCTGGCATCATTTTCCATTCTCTTACAAAATGTCAGGACAGGGCAACGTGCGAGTGCTGGATGGTACCTGCACTGAGGTTTGGCCATTCTGGACCACATGCCCATCTAGGGCCAGTTATGGCTTTGCCCACACTAACCCTGCTCAACAGCATTTTACCTGCACATTACTATGAGCATAACAACTTCTCTGTGGGGGATGCTTTACAGACCAGTGTACTGGAATAAATGCTAGAGGATGTGGCTTCCTGTGAATGAGACCCACACAGAATACAACCCACAGGATGTCACAGGTATCTCCATACCAGTACCTCATAGTTTCCATATCTGAAAGATAATTTATTCATATACAGTCTCTAATATTCATATCCTGGAAAATGAGCAAAATTCTAGGGACCAACTGAGACATCAAAAAGAGAACATTGTCCAGAGGATGGATCAGTGAATAAGGGCTCAGAATTGCCTGGTTCATGCAAAAAGCCAGGCTCTAGCATGTATCAGTGCAGCATTATTGTCACCGAGGATTTGACCCAGAAAGTTTGTCTGTATATGCTGATGTAACTCCAAGGGTAACTGTGGCTCTTTTTGGCATTCAAATCAGGACCACTTTAGGTTGAGGCTCACTTGGATGGCAAAGAAAGAAGAGTTCATCTTGTCTAAATGCTGCAAATAACCACGCAGAACAGGGGAGAACTATAGAGCAATTACACAGATGTGCAAAACCACTAAAATATATGATAGCATTTGCCCTGTTCATATCTTCTCTTTAGGAGTCTCTCTCACAACAATTGAGATATGAAATGAAGTGTCTTAGATACTTGGCCACGTCTGTATGTCAGTAAATGACACTATCTTTAAGGCAGTGCACTGAGACAGGTATGTGAAGGTGGTAAGCCTAAAAATCAGAGCAATACCTCTGAAGTGCCTCCACTGTATATTCTGCCAGAGTTGTGACAGCTATGCGAAAAAAACATGGAAAAAGTCACTCTTTTAAAAACAACATTCAATTATTGTGTGTGCAAAAGGCATGGTGTGTCAGTGAGCCATGAATTCAGCTTACCCGGAGCTTCTCCTCAGACTTAGTGGTTTGCTTACAGTCGGGATGCCAGACAGTGGAACCTGAGGGAGGACAAACACAGCTTTATTCAGGGCAAAGCAGGTGACTTCTGCTCATTGCAAGCCAGTTATTAAAGAGAATCTCTTCACTGCATCAGACGCTGAATCTGTATGAACTGAGAGTTCATTCACATTGAAGTCTAGCTCATGGGAAATACAAGGGAAACAAAAAGTATTCAAATCCTTGGTGTACCTACAGCAGCTTTGTCCTGAGGCTGTCAAAGCACTTTGCACACATTCTTAATTAAAACTCAAGCAGCCCCAAGCAGCAACAGTCAGCAAGCACCAGCTGGAGGAACTGAAAGAGAGAGGATTCCTCTGGCAGGCTGGAGGGTAAGAGCAAAGGAACTGGGCCACAGTTACCTGATCTGTTCTCCCCTTATGTACTGCCCTGCACATAAACAGGAATTAGTGATTGTAATTGTAAGATTGTAAGATAGGTATCATACTCGGTTACTGCAAAGTACTACTCAGATCACATCTTCCCTCATGCAAAATGCATAAGGAAAAGCAAAAGTAAAAAATTTACTGTGCAAGAACCAGGGCTGTGTGTGACCCAGTGGTGAGAGCCCAGGATGACAGGTGGTGCACAGCTGCACATGAGAGCCTCTCCCTGGATCCCAGCACACCAAACCTGCCATTGGCACACACAGCACTTCTACCCTGTGCTCTGCTGTGTGGCACTGGGGCTTCCACACAGCATATTCCAGCTATATATCCTACTAAAAAAGTCAAGTCCTCTGCTGTTCGTTTCCCAAAATATGAGATTCTTTCTTATGCTGTAAAGTAGGAATATCCTGCTGTCATCAAGGACTGAGTGATGTCAGGGGCCAGAAGCATTTCCATCCCATTTCAGCTGTCCTCTGAAACAGAGTGTAAACTGTGGTCACTGCTGGAAAGCTGCTTGAAGGCACTGGCCAAGATAAAACAAAGCAGAGACTAACACTGATTTTTAACACTGACTGCAGTGAAATTCATCCTTCATTCCAGTCACCACAAAGCCAACCCAGAGCCCTGACTGGGGAACATCACCTCTTGCCTCTGCCCACAGAGAAACCAAACAGAGCCAAGCCCAGGTCTCCTGCTGGTGACTATTAGCTCAAAAGCTGCCAGAGGAAACCCCACCCTTGGAGGACAGGAGAAGGATGTGTCAGGGCCCCTGGAGACTTTCTTCTAACATGGCTTGGTGCAGAAGCAAAGAGCAGCAGGGATCGTTTCACTGCCCAGCAGTGCACAGCACAGCCATCACCAGGAGAGGAGAGAATGCTGTGACTCTGGAGCAAGGTCTGAGGTGTCTGGCTGTGAGTTTAAGCTGAGGAAGAAGAAACTGTGCCTTTGGCAGAGGGAAGCCATCAGACACCAGGGAGAAGTGCACCGAGAGCCTTCTCTGTAAACAAACAGCAGCCTCAGAGCCAGGACCCTGCAGAGCCTGCAGGATCAGAGGGAGCTGTGTCCTGGCCAGGCAGGAGGAGGAGAGTGCAGGTTACAAGGCTGTAAGTTCATGTTAAAAGAAGTGATCTGAGTAATACTCCTCTGAATATGACACCTATTGCTTCCTGTGTGGCCCTGAGAAAAATGATCCCCATTCCTCTGTACCTCATGCTGGAATTTATAAAGTTAGAGGGTTTTTAGGAAATGGTTAAAAAAGAATAGGCTTGAGACTGAAGTTTTAATAGTATTGCAAATACAGTAAAAAAGTTTTCTAAACAGTAGAGCATACGTAACAAATAACAATAAACTTCTGTAGAACTAGTTTATAGATAGCAATAAAAGTAAGCGCGAGCTCTTAACATAAATTCCCACATATTCTCCACACCTCACTGTCAGATTCATGGCAGGAGTTGATGATCTTAGGAGTCTTCCCAACCCTAACAATTCTGAGACTCTTTTCTGTTAAACTTTCCCTACCATCAATGAGAAAGCTGTCACTGCATTTCGGGCAGTATTTATCACAAACTGGGACAGTTTAGGGACACCCTGTGGGAATGCTGAAAGTGAACAAGAAATACAGGAACCTGGATGTCATTTTCATGGTGAAACCTAGCTAAGGGTTGTAGAGTTCCTTTCACAAAATGATAAAGAGATTTGAAAGATGTGACATTCAAAACCCCAAATCAGACAGAGTAGGATTAAAAAGTTAAATGTACATATTTTTTGTGATCTTGAACTCAGAGCCACCTGCATTCTGTAGATACTATTTATCCAAACTGTTTTGAAATGCTTGCAAGGGTGCAAACTCCCAAGCTGCATCACTCCTCTCTTTTACTGCTGGAAACAGCAAACTGTGATTATTTCCATTCTTAACATTTGTTTGTTTGCTTACCTGGCAAACACCAACTAGCATGCTCATTTATTCAGCTTTCAAGTTTGCACATACCATTATTTCAACACCAGCACCCCTCTAAATACTGGGCAATTCTGGCTCAGCCTTGTGGGGCAGCCCATAAAAGAATGTATTACCAGGAAGTCAATGGGAAAGAGACAGTTTCTGGTGCTGCTTCTTTTTCATTTTCATGTGTTGGAGTAGTGCCAAGCCAGAGTGTTTCTGCCAGCATTATTCCAACCATCCTTAACATAGAAAGCCCCAAGACAGAGAGCTTGTTTGTCCATGTTCTCTTTTTGCAGTTTCCCAACATTTCTAATACAAGTTCCTACCACAATCCTGCCAGGCTTCTCTATTATACAAAGCAATACCAAGACAGTGCTTTCCTATTCTAGGGAGAGGACAATTACAAGTGAGATGGGAGCCACCTATTTTTGCGTATTTTATCAACAACACGATTTTTGTTCTAGCTTTATTGTTGTGGTGTTGTATTTCTGTTTCAGAGAAATGCTTGGAATGCTGTTATTCTGCACCCTGGGGGCAGTGATGTGGATGGAGCCAGGATATGCGTTTCAGCTGAGAGGTTTGCACAGGAAAGGCTTTTAGGTCCTCACACTTCCAAGCAGGCTGAATTCAGCAAGGAAAGCTTTGGCAGCACAGTGTGCAGCACACTCAGCAATTACAGCATTTAGCCAGAAAACATCCTGTGAACAATAAAGCAATGCACTTTGAGGTGCTCCTTCCCTGAGCAGCAGGAACATTGATTCATAACCACAGAAAGAGAGGTGCACTGAGAAGAGAACAGCAGATCAAGCTGCTGCCAGGTTTCTCTCCCCTTTCCTATCACCTGAACTTGTCCAGGACAAACTCCAGCCTAGTTTAAGTAAAAGTGATACCTTCTGTCTTGTTTTGATCTGCAGAAATCTGCACCAAAGCCTGCTCAATTAACCCAAAGTCCCACTCCCTGCTAGACTGGTGCAAATGGCACTAGCTGGAGGTGGTTGTTATTGATTAATGACAGCACAGGATGACCTGATGCTCATTTTGAACTCTGCCTGTACTTTACCCCACCATCATGTGAGGAAACTAAGATGTGCCAGATGATGTAAGAGCTGCTTTCAAGTTAGTTTTTCCAATTTGCCATCAGAAAGCAGCAGCTCCCACCCAGCCCTCTTGCAGCCTCTCCTTGCTCCTGCCAACAGAGCAGCTCCACCATTTCACATCCTGCTCTGGGCACAGCTGGAATAAGATGACTGAGGTATGAGGTCAGGGAGAGATGAGAGAGAGGGACTGCAAGGAAGGACAAACTACAAAATAAAACAAGTCAGCTTCAAAGGAATGCCTCAACAATATTATCCTATTTTGGAACTCCTTCAGTAAGAACTTCTCAGGATTTCAAGAAATGGCTGTGACAACACTTTCATATTTCTTTCACTATTTTTCCACATCCCTTTCAAGTACATCAAGTTTTCTAACCTAAGTGCAATATATAAAATCCCAACATGTATCTGCCTTTTTCACTTTTATTTCTGGCTTACATAAATGGGTATTATACATCCTTCTATCAACAGTAATACTACAGCAAGCAATAAAAATAACTTAAAAGTGAGTATACCACCATCTCAGGGAGTGGAATTCATATCAAGGATACTTTTCAATCAAAGAAAAGAACATATTCTTTCTTTGGGAAAAAAAATCATGAACAAACCAAGCTTGGGAATAACCGGGAATGTGAAACTCTTAACAAGAAAGGGGAGATGAAAATAAACAGACAAGAAAGAGGTAGCTATAGAAAGATATAAAAATAAAGTACATGGGAATAAAAAGAGATATATGACCACATAAAAGGGAAGTAGGCAAGGGAAGAAAATATAATTAAAAACTGCAGGAGAGACTCTGTCAATGTGCATGAGGAGTGAGATCTACATGGTTCAAAGCAAATTCACTGCAGCTTTCTGCAAGATTTTCCTTTGCCTTTTATAGTTTGGAGTGGAGTCCAGAATAGCACAGAAACTGATCAGCAGAAATCAGGGGAAATCCCTTCACTTTGTCTGGTATCTCACACACCATTCTGGGGATAACTATCCATGAGTTGTCAAATTCAGAGGCCTAATAAATTTCATCTTTTAGCAAGCACAGGCTGCCTCAGCAAGGGTGCAGAGTCCCTGCAAAGCCACAGTTATGGGCACCTAATAGAGCAGAAGGGTATCAAGTGAAAAAATATGAGAACACTACTGAGGACAGGATGACTATAGTCCTCCTTGGACATATTACATGGGGATGGTTTATAAATTCCTGAGGTCTGTGACAGAAAAATCACAATGTCTGATTTTCTTCTTTTGGAATGGAGACATCCTTACCTTGCAGATACATTTCTTCTCCTTCTGTGAACATTTGGTTGCATCTGCTGCATCGTGCACAGCTTGGATGATAATGCTTGTCACCTGCCTAAACAAAAACAAAAAAGGAACATGAGGGACAAATGCATTGCACTGCTTTCTGAGCACTCATAATTTTCTGGCTGACCATTGCCCTTTTTCTTCTAGTTCACCTGTTTTGCTACAACCCTGCCCTCATGATGTGACAATAGCACTGAGGATGTGAGCTGTGCCATGCTGCTTCAGCCCTGAGGTCTGCCCTGTCCTCAGCAGAGGCCAGCAGTGGCTGCTTGGGGGAAAGCCTGTAAGAGAAAAGGCAGCACAGAACAGCCCTTCCCCTTCACACCTTCCCATTAGAGCAATCAGTGTCCTTCTGCCTAGGAGCTACATCACAAGGTACCTGTTCTCCAGGATTTGACAAACATATTTTTAAATCATCTAACAGTCCAAGGCAATGAATGTCACACTGCAGTTCATTTCTGTGAACATGCTGCCTCCTCATTTTGCCAATTAATGAGTTTTCAACCTGCCATTTCATTCCCCGGCCTTCTTCCCTATACTGCTGCCCATGGGTATTAGTAAAAAAACCTCTCTAGAGCCACTTCTGGGGCCATTAATTTAATTCCCAGATCCCTGACTTCAGAAGCTGCACCAGCACAGACAGCCTGAGCTGAATTTGAACTACTGCTGTAAAGGTCCTAAATACCCTAGATCCTGTTACCCAAATCCAAATCCACTGAGTCATTCAGTCTCTTAAATACATTGATACCATTAATAGGTAAAGCTGAACAGATTTCAGGCCTATAAGGACAGGAAAAATCAAGGCATAAATATTAATGCGATTTCTTCTCTTCAGGAGACCAAAGCAATCAATACATTAGCTTCCCCACATCATAAACTGAGCACAAAGTGTCCACATCAGGCTTTTAAATAGAAAAATTATTAATGCCAGAAAATGACCCCTTATAGTGACAAGTAAAGAATTCTAAAAGTCTTTGAATTTCTATCTGGCTTTCCAAACAAATTAACTTCAAGTCCTTTTTCACAATTATTCCTCATCCAACGAGATGCTATATGCAGAAAATTAACTGTTTACTCTATAGCTGACTTGTAAAATGCCATCAAAACCATCTCCTGCCTCATTGTACTTAAGACCATTAACATAACTAAATTCAACCTTTCATTTTGTCTATTGAGGAGAATAACAACATATTTTTGGTTCACATATGACATTCATTACACAGGCTTTTTATTTAAACATACACACACACACACACATACATATATATATATATACACACACACATACATATATATATACACATATATTAGATGATGAAGTACATGGATTAAAGTACCTGACAGCTACCAGAAAATCAGCTCTACCACCCAGCTCTTCTACAGCCAAAGCTGCACCATTCAATTTTAGTAACTCCCATCCAGGAACTTCAGCAATACAAGAGAAGAGGACTCAGTGTGCTGTTAGTTTAGTTATACATTTCGCTGTTCAGCTGCAAAAAGCCTGCACTTCTCTTAATCAGATCCTGTATTTACTGTTGATTCTTGCACTTCAGGGACAAAATCCACCAAACAGAGAGTAATGGGATTTAGGTGTTCTTAGTAAAGCAGATTTAGAGCTATCAGGCAAAACAGGGTCTCTGTTAAAAGGGAAAATGAGAAGTCACTACAAAATCTGCTCACTCAAGGAAGAAAAGTTAATGAGGGAGAAAACATAGAAATGATGTTTGACTTGCAGCAACAAAGCTAATATTGAACTGAGAGAGAAAACACAGTTAATGCTCATTCACTCTCATTTTCATTACTGGCTGCCTTCTTCATCTCTGATGACTTTCCCTAGCAATTATTTAACCTCTGAGGTCTTCCACTGGTTTCATTCGAGACTGGAATTTATTGGATAAAGAAATCCAGAATTCATCACATTATTGTGTGTAGACCTGTGGCCCCTCTGAGGTTTTGTTTTCCTGGGAAAACTTCTGATAAGCTACTGTCAATAGAATATAGTTCAAACCATGTACACCTGCCTCTTCCCAACAGCCAGAGGGATCAACTTCAAGTTTATCAGGTCTTTCCCTGACTGAAACACTGGCTAAATTTTATCCTGGTGTGAGTGATGATGAATGAACACCACGCCCCAGATAACACAGCCCTGCAAGTCCAAGTGAGAACACACCCTGCACTGGAGAGGTTTTGGGGCAGTGACATACCAGAGCAGCTGCAGTTGTTGTTAAACACTTCCCAAACAGTTTCATGAGTCTTCTGCCTCTGTAATGTTTCCACAACTCATGAGTGTAGAAACTCTACAGATCTACCTTCCTACAGCAGGTATTTGCTGGAGAACATTCTGAATCTCAACTAATTCAGGACTCATCTTGCTATGCCTGACTTGCTGTGATCATCTGGGAAAATGGATGCTAAAAATCAGTCATTTATAATGTATCAGGACAGACTTTTGTATCTACAAGTCAATGAAATATTCACACTTTGTAGACATCTGCTTTTGCCCTAATAGGGCTACTAAACTCTCATTCAGTGTGTTCAGTGTACACCTTTCTGGGATCTCATGCTACTGTGCTGTGCATCAAAAGGTTTGCAACTCAATCCTCCTGGCAGGACCAGGAAACACTGATGAAGTGCACATTTGCCCCAAACATTCTTCAGTCAAGGTGAGAGAGGGTTAAAGGCTCTGTCTTCTCACTCAGCTGTCCTGAGTGAGAGGTGGCAGAACAGAGGCACTGGGTTACACACTGTGTGCACCCAGCTGAGACACCTCTACCAGTCTAAAAGGTAAATAAAGGGTTTGGAGGTACTTGAAGCACCAGCTGAACACCACCCTGTGAGCTCCTGTACAACCCTGTCACCCTGCTGATGCTCCAACAGACACAGTGCTCATTTGCCTTCACTTGATAAACTCTGCTTGTTTGGGGACCTCCTGAAGACAAAAATGTACTGTCACTTCTGGCTGTCAGGGAAAGCAGTGCTGGCTATTGCAAAAATTATTCCAACCCAGGAGCTGCAAATACACCTGCAGACAAGCTGACACAACCTGTCCCAAAAAAAGTCCCTGCACTGAGCATTAACCCCGAGCTAACAGCACTTCAAAAGCCAAGGGCTGTATTTTCTGAGTCCAACCCCTCGGCCCCACTTCCCACAAGACTAACTTTTATTCTCTGAGTGCTTGTAAAGCTCTAGGCTGATTAAATAAATGTTTTCCTCTTTGGTGAACGTGAGAGCTTAAGATTTCCTATTACTCATGCCTTCAGCTCCGTCCTTCCTTCCAGAACAACAGTGAACAAGAGCCAGAGAGAACAATAACAAGAATCACACTAGGAGAGCTCACATGCCAGTGGGTCTGGTAGAGGAAGAACTAATTACCAACAGACATGTTCTGCTGGCCAAAGGACACAATTAAGTGCATATTTGCTGTGTTACATTTGCACAGCTGCACTCGTTCACTCTCCTTTCAGAGATAACTCAGCACTGACAGAGAGCTTTTAAACATGTAGAAAGCTTTACTTTTCTCTTTAAGTACTACCAAAACTATTATGTAGTTGAAAGAGTATCTGAGAATCTGAGAGTAAAAGCACTTCCCTTTCTTCCTTTTTTTTTTTTTTTTTTTTTTAGTTTTTTTTTAGTTTTTATGAACTGTTATTATAGGCCCATTTGAGAGACAAACCTATCCAATATCTATTCCTGCCATGACTCTGAGGAGAATGACTTGATTTCTTAACTCTCCTAAGGACTTTGCAGCAGCACAAAGAATAATTCAGACTCATCTTTTAAACCCCTTAAGGAATGTCATGAATTGTAAAACAGGAACTGTGGCAGTAGCCTAACATTTTCCACTGAAGCTTTATTTTAATTACTTGCAGAGGTCACAGAACCTTCAACCCTGTTTGATGTTCAGTGTAACATCAAATTCCATTGTTTCCTTCTCTGCAGGCTTCTGTGATCTCACGAGTGGCTGGAATAGCATAAACACTATGAAGACCAAAATTTGCTTCTAATAACATCCTGACCCAAACTGTCCACTCATTTTTCCCAGGCTCTTATCTGTTGAGCAAGTCACTACAAATATCTGTGCTCAGAAAAAAAAATAGAAGTGCAGTTTCTTTGCTTCCAAAGGATTTCAGAATCTACCATAAGTTTCTTTATTACTCCCAATGGAAGGAAAGTGTAATAATTTTTTTTTTAAAATTAGTCCTTGTCCAATATGCATCTTTCAAATTTGGACCTTCTAAAGCTGTTCTTTACACTCCTGTCACATCATCTCAATAGAAGCAGCTCTCAGCAGAGCCTCTGCCTGTGTTCAACCTGCAGCAGGATGGAGCAGCAGGAAGCAGAGCTCACACTGGCAGTTCCCAAGCTGGGGGAGCTGCAACAGACAGGGCTGGGGAAAAGTGGGAAATGGAGCGTGAGGCTGTGACTGTAAATCTGAATGACAACAGGCATGGAAGGGACATGGGAGACCCTCTGAGCCCACCAATGACTGCTGGGCTGCCTTGGGGGAGACAAAACCCCAGCTGCCCTGCTGGTAGGAGCACTTGCACTGTTAATTCATGCCCAGTGTCTGATTTTATACAAAAAATACTTCCCAGCATTCCAACAGTGACTGACAATGTCGTGCTGGTATATCCCTTAATGGATGGACTGTAATAAACTTTGTAACTTATTAATGTTAATTCCATCCACACACAATAGTGTCATACCCATCAGCTGCTGCTGACAGCAGTGCAATTATTCACTGCATGGAATACAGCTTTCCTTGTAGCAGAGATGTGAGTAATCACTCAGGCTAAATCCCCAGCTGTGAAACTGCTCTCCTGGCATGAAGAAACAGCCCTTGTGGCAGCTGAACACCACCTGCACTTGGTTTAGTAGGATCCTAGAAGTTGCTTGTGATTGCACTGTCAGCTCTTCTTGAGTTCTCACTTTCCTGCAACACCCAGAGTTGAGCAAGCTGCACACACAGGTGAGATGTTCAGCTGTCAATTATGGTCTTTATGGAGCTCCTCATTCTGTCTTTACAGGACAAATCTACCTATTGCTACA